AGCTGGGAAGAATACCTCGTTGCAATTCAATTTTCTTATGGAAAAGGAAGAAAAGATTAAAAGGCAAACAGGAGCCCGGAAGGTGGAACTGAGCCGTGGTGAACAGGCTGTAGGACTGATCCCTGACCAAGGAACTGGCACCACATGACTGTCTGGACTTCAGAGTTACTGTGGACCAGGGCTCCTGTGTCCCCTTTTCTAACTTTTTAAACAGGAGCATCTATAGTGTTTTTCCTATGCCTGTCCCATCATTGTATGGTGATTGCAGTGTGTGTATGTAGATAACTTGTCTCTTCAGTTCACATATCTTTAGATCCAGAGGAATGACACTCAAGGGGCTATACCCAAAGAATCCCATCTTGCTTGCACCTAAACTTGATTTGGATGATGAAACAATGGACTTCAAGCTGATGTCATAAATTTGGGAGTCTTTTGGGCGAGGGATGCATGTATTTTGTATATAGGAAGATTCTAAATTTTCGCAAGAGGAACGTGGCTGATCTTATTTTGCAAGATGTCCAGAACAATTATCTCCCATCTCAAATGCCCTTCTTACAGTGTAATCCTAACATCCTTCCTATGATGAGGTGGGTTCTACCTTCCTCTTAAATCTAGGTGGGTTTGTGACTCAGGCACAAGTGACACTATGTGACTTCCAAGCCTAGGTTGTAAAAGGAGAAACAGCTTCTCTTTGGTCCTCTTGGATGCTTGCTCTTGGGACCTCTGGAATCCTGGGAGGTACAGTCACTGTTATTGTATCAAGCCGCTGAATCCTGGGATGATTTGGTTATGTAGCAATAGATAACTGATACAACTGGAATAACAAACAAATATATGAAGAGAATTCATTCGGTGCATTGAGCACTTACTCTGTGCCAGGCATTCCTGCAGGTGCTGTGGCTACAGAGCAGATTAAAATCTCTGCTCTCATGGAACATGCATTCTAGTGGGGGAAACAGACTGTGAATAAGTAAAGACAGATACACCATGTTAGATAATGATAAATGCTAAGGAAAAAATTAAGAAAGGAAGAGCAACGGACAAAAAAGTGAATGATTTGCAATTTTATTATTAAAAAAATTTTTTTTTCCTTTATTGATTTTAGAGAGACAGGAAGTGAGAGAGATAGATACACATCGATGAGAGGAAACATCGACTGGCCATCTCCTGCCTGCCCCCCACTGGGGATTTGGCCCACAACCTGGGCATGTGCCCTGACCGGAAATCCAACTGGCGACCTCTTGATGCATGGGTTGACGTTCAACCACTGAGCCACACTGGCCAGAGTATTATTATTTTAAAAAAGATGTTTTTATTGATTAGAGAGATAGAAAAATCGATATGAGAGAGAAATGTCCATCGGCTGCCTCCTGCATGTCCTCTACTGGGGATGAAGCCCGCAACCTGGGCATGTGCCCTGATTGGGAATCGACTGGGACCTCAGTCCATGGGATGACGCTCAATCCACTGAGCCACACCAGCTGGGCTGATTTGCAATTTTAAATAGGTGGACAAGGCAGAACTCAAGGAGGTGTTACCCGGGTCAAGACCTAAAGCAAGTAAGGGAGTGAGTGGTCCATGGGGTATCTGGGAAGAGAATTTCTTGTAGAGGGAGTAACACGTAGAAGGGCCCAGCAGGGGTGGAGAGCAAGCCTGTCTCAGGAGGGTCAAGAGGCCAGGGTAGCTGAGTGGTTAGAGTAAACATCGACGTGAAAGGGACACATCAATGTGGTTGCCACCTGCATGACCCAACCAGGGCTGGGGACAAACTGCAACCGAGGTACATGGCCTTAACGGGAACTGAACCCGGGTCTCTCTGGACCGCAGGCCGATGCTCTAACCGCTGAGCCAAACCGGCCAGGGCTCAGCTGGTGTTTGAAAGGACGAAGGGAGAAACAGGAAGATCAGCTATGATGCTATTGCAATAATCCAGGAAATTGCTTATACTGACTCAACAGCAGTGGATCTAGTGAAAAAGGAGTTGAATTTGGGGGAACATTTTGTGGGTAGAGCTGATAAGTTTGTGGGCAGACTGGATAGAAAGAGCGTACAACAGGAGTCAAGGATGACTCCAAAGTTTTTGGCCTGCATGACTTGGAAGAATGGAGCTGCCACTCATTGTGATGGAGAGACTAAGGGGAGCAGGCTTGGGGTCAAGTATACAGAACTGGCTGGGCTACGTTCAATCTGAGGGCCTGTCAGACATCTGGGATGTCCAGGGTCTGCATGCAGAAGGGAGGTCAGGGCTAGAGATATAAACCTAGGGGTCACCAATGGGTGGCTGGTAACAAAGCTGGGAGATTCAACTTCCTAACCATTTAAGAGGAGAGTTGGGTCTGAAGCTTGACCCCAAGGTCAAAGCCCCTTCCAGAAGGCGATGCTGCTTCTCCACATGTCCTTGGGCATTCTGAACTCGGATGCCTGGTACACAGCCTGATAGCAGGGGTGGTGGAGGGATCCGCCTCTGAAGCCAGACGGCCTGATTCACATGACAAGTCTACACTAGCCCCTTCATACCTCTGTTGAAGGTTAAACAGTTAATACACAAAAGTGGTTCACTCAGAGAATATGCTCGAGAAATGCTCGCAAGGTGGCTGCCGTTCGTCCAACACTGGCTGATACCAATGTCAAGTTCATAGGCCACTAGGAAGGAAACGAAGTATTTCCTTCACTTAGCTCGTCAGTGGGGCTTACCTGTCTCCCCTGAGAACCAACAAAACACTACGAAATTCACTCTTTTATGAACCAAACCCAAATGTTACAAAATCTGAACAAAAGAATGTGCACAGCTATCTTTTCAAAAGCTATTTTATCAACTCCTTTTTAAAACCCATACAATAGTCATAAAATGAGTAAATTAATTTGATCTTTTCTCGCAAGGACTGTTTCTCCTCTGCTCCTTGGTCCTCAGAACGTCCTTCCTACATGATCATCTTCCTTGGAGCCAAGACCTACTTTAAGACTATTGCGAATTTATTTTACTATCTATAATTAACACACTGACGATAATCACAAGTTGCTATAAAATAGCAACCTTGGCTCTAAAAATAAAAATCCCAACATCTTTCCCCATCCATAGTACTCGGCAGAAGGTCCTTGAAGCTTCTGAATTCTAAATATTCAGAATGATGTGTGTACATGGAGAATAAAGCAGCATCCTATTCTACTTGTGGGGGACAGAATCTGTGCCTACAGATTTATAATCTGGATGGAGAGGGGACAAATGATGCACATTCATGAGGTGGATTAAAGAAACAAAATTAGGCCCTGGCTGGTTTGGCTCAGCAGTTAGAGCGTCCGCCTGCGGTCCAGAGAGACCTGGGTTCGGTTCCACTAAGGGCACGTACCTCGGTTGCAGTTTGTCCCCAACCCTGGTTGGTCGTGTGCGTGGCAGCCACTCGATGTGTCCCTTTCACGTTGATGTTTCTCTCTCTCTCTCTCTCCCACTCTATCTGAACAAAATATTGAAGTGTCCTCGAGTGAGTATGAAAAAAAAGAAACAAAATTAGTCCCTGGCCGGTTTTGCTCAGCAGTTAGAGGGTCGGCCTGTGGTCCAGAGAGACCCGGGTTCAGTTCCCGCTAAGGGCATGTACCTCGGTTGCAGTTTGTCTCCGACCCTGGTTGGTCATGTGCGTGGCAGCCACTCGATGTGTCCCTTTCATGTCGATGTTTCTCTCTCTCTCTTCCTCTCTCCGTCCCACTCTATCTGAACAAAAAATGGAATAAAATGTCCTTGGGTGAGGATTTAAAAAAAAAACAAAATTAGTCTGGCCGGTGTGGCTCAGTGGTTGAGCATCGACCCATGCACCAAGAGGTCACTGGTTCGATTCCTGGTCAGGGCACATGGCCAGGTTGTGGGCCCGATCCCCACTAGGGGGCATGCAGGAGGCAGTCAATCGATGTTCTCTCCCATGGATGTTTCTATCTCTCTCCCTCTCCCTTCGTCTTTCTCTAAAATCAATAAAGGAAAAATATTTAAAAAAGAAAAAATAGGCATAGAAGCCAGCAGACACCATAATTTTATAGACATATAATATGGTTTCATGAAACCATGCAGGATTATCTGCATGGGAGATTATGGATGCTTTTAGTTTTTTTGTTTATATTGTCTAAGAATACATTACATTTTTGGGGAATAAAAAAAAGATTTAGTCCAAACATGCTAAAGAAAAGCAGACATGGTGGCCAAGGGCATGGGCTCTGAGCCTGGGCACCTGCTCTTCCACTAACTGGCCAAGTAATACCTAACCTCTCCACGCCCTATACCCTAACCTGTTTGAAAAAAGAGCGAGCCCTGGCTGATGTGGCTCAGTGGTTGTAGAGTTAACCCATGCACTGAAGGGTCATGGGTTTGAATCCCAGTCAAGGGCACCTAGCTGGGTTGCAGGTTTGATTCCTGGACCCAGTCAGGGTGCATACGGGAGGCAACCAATTGATGTGTCTCTCTCATTGATGTTTCTCTCTCTCCCCCTCCTCTCCCTTCCATTCTCTCTAAAAATCAATGGAAAAATATCCTCAGGCGAGGATTCACAACAACAAACAGGTAACACCACCTTCTTTCTGCTCAAACCATCAGTGCGAAGGCCTTTGCATAGTGCCCGGCCCCCAGTCAATGGTGGGGAAGGTGCTCACTGTTACATGAGCCAGCAGACACAGTGTTATAACTGCAGTGCCTGAGAAAATGCTTGTGAAATGCGTTGAACTTTAGATTTTTGAAGGTCAGGGGAACGATATTTTAGACAGAGGGCAACTTGAGAAGGGCAGCGACTGAAGATGACAAACCTCAATACCCTCAGACAAGCAGACGGTGGAATGGGAACCGAGGGGACCTCGAGACTGACACAAATCCGAAAGTTTTCTGGTAAAAACAGCCATTCCTAAGGGCTCCAGGAAAGAGAATCCCCCCAGGCACACTCATTGGCTCTGTGGTTCACCCACCCCTCTGCTTTCCACAAAAAGAAGAGACTCGAAGAAGATGCCTTCTAAGTGTGTATCACCTTTTATTGTAGTTTGCATTAGGAATTGAACAGAGGACATTGTCTGTGGAGGGGGAAAAAAGGAAGAGAAAAAGAAAGTATGTTTTTGTAGACTTAATTTCTTCAAAACACTTTATGGTTTCAAATCCTTTTTTACCCCAAAGGAAATTCGAGAATTCAAGTATGTGAAGTAGGGAGCAGTAATACAAAAAGTCTTATGTTTCTGTGCGTGTGTGTGGGTGTGTTTGCCTGTGTGTGTTTTACAAGCAGACATACCTCCACATTTCTTGCACCCCTTTTCTGCTTTGGTAAGGCCAAGCCCCAAAGGACACATCATATACATGACCCCTGCTTTGAACTCACAGGCCCCGAGTTGAGGAATTTATGTACCCTCATAGGACAACTGTAACGGTTTCGAACTGTCACGTAGCATTAAAAACACCCCCCTCCCTCCCCCCAACCCGAAGTCGTTTAATCCTGATAGACTTCAACATGCCCTTTGCTGCAGCTGCTCCTTCGGTTCCTAAGAGAGGGCTCATGACAAGGACCAGAGCAACAGGATTCTCTTCATTTTGCTTAGCATAAAAAAATTTTTAAGGGACATTTCAAAATAGAAAGAAAAATAAAAATAAAAACTGAAATTCAAATTCTGAAAATATCTTGCCTTTTTTATTAATCATGTCATCTAACACCAATTAAAAAAACAAATATGTGAATATGATATAAAAATACGATCCCAGGATTAACACTTTGTTGCAGGCACAGTTATCTCACAGAATATATGTTTGGAGGGCCAAGGAAAGGAATTTAGTTTCGTTTTTGCTTCTCTTAAAAAAATCCACAGCAGTGCAAGTAGGGTCAGGAAGGAAAGGGAAGGGGGGAAAGATTCTTTAGCAGCAAAATGTCCAAGGTTCTCTAATCACAATCAAATCAGTGGATATTGGATTTAGGGGAAAAAAAATAAAAGAAAAAAAATGGAGGGGATGCTGCCCAGACCCATTCATTATCAATCACTAAAAAACTTCCGCTGCAATAGCCCCAAATTGTGACACATGAAGGACGTGCTTCATTACACAAGCAACCAATCATAAAATGTGTCCCTCAAGCTTTTGACCACGTTTGTCACTTAAATATATGTACAGGAATCGGGCTCCTCTTCTCACTCATGTCCTTCCAGACGGCCACCGTTTGGTCGCGGTGGGTGGGCTCGGTGTCTGCCACGTTTGGCCTCTGCGTGTGAAGAGCATGTCGCCACCGATGCTGCGCCTGCCGGCCGGCCGGCCAAGGGACAGTTCAATGGTCACTGTTCTGCTTCTCTCGCATCCAGGCGTGAATCTGCTCTTTCAGTTCTGGCACTGAGGGGAGAGAGGGGGGTTAGTGCCGGGGGGAGGGCTTTTCCTGAGAGCTGACGTCTGCCATCTGAATCGATGGAGAAAAGGCCCTTCATTTGCCTGGTGAAATGAAGACGGAAGCAGAAAGAAACAGGACACGAGAAGGACTAGATCTCTACAGTGGAAAAGAGCAAAGACGTTTCGTGTCTTTTCCATTAAGTGTCATAAACTACGGAGTTTGTGGGTTTGATGAGATCCCCCTTTTGATTACCCCCGACACCACGTGACTGGCTCCCGCGGGCTGCTGGGTGGGCGTGCCAGCGGCCGGGCGTACCTGGCTCCAGCATGCTCTCGGTCAGCGTCTGCCGGTTGAAGGGGTCCGTGGGGGAGTTCAGCAGGTGCCGCAGAATGATGGAGCGGTCCATGATGGTGCCGGAGGGCAGCCGCACCGGGTCAGTCATCAGGGTGTCCATCAGAGGGTCTACGGAGACAAAGCAAAGCAACCTCTAATCTAGTAACGGGACCTGCAGCTGAAACAAAGCCGCCCCTGCCGGTGAAAAATGGACATAACCCCCAGGAACAGCTACCAGATGGCCCTGACTGGGCCCCAAGGGTTCAGGAACATCAGCCTTTTTTTTAAGGTTAATCCTCACCCGATGATATTTTTCCATTGATTTTTTTTTTAGATAGAATGGAAGGGAGGGAGAGATGGAGGAGGAGAGAGAGAGACATTGATTGGCTGCCTCCCAAATGGCCTCAACTGGGGCTGGGGATCGAACCTGCAACCCAGGTACGTGGCCCTGACCCGGAATCAAACCCGAGACCCTTCGGTCTGCCGGCCGACGGTCTGGCCGCTGAGCCACGCCGGCCAGGGTGACACCAGCCTCGGGTGGCAGGGAGAGGAGCCTCTGCCAGTACCGCTGGAAGGAACGGACAGCAGAGCGGGCTGGGCGCAGCGCAGCGAAGGCGGCGGGCTGGCCCCTCATCTGCACGCCTCCAGATCCTTTGCGAACGCCAGTCCGCACTTGCAAAGGCAAGTGGACCTTAGGCTGCTCAGGGTGACCTGGTTGGAAATCAGGCTCAGGACTTTCCTCCTCTTTTAATTTACAATATGGACTAAAAGTAGGCAAATGTAATTTCAGACACAGTGTCTCAAAAGCACCCACAGCACAGCATCAGAAAGCTGAGAGCACAGAAGGCCCTCTGCCCACGTTACTTGTGCCCAGGGAACTCAAGTCAAAGGACGGCACGAGAGGAGCGGGCCGCTTGCCTCGGAACTCGTCCGGCGCGTCGCTGTAGTCGATCTCGGCCCGCGCGTTCTTGGCCACTATCTCCTCCACCTTCTCGGCGAGAAGCTTGAACTTCTCTATCGCGATCGTGGACTTGATTCCTGCCTTCCGCATCTTCGAAATGACTTCCTCGAACAACTCTTTGCTGTAGGATCTCTGCACGAGGAAAGACGATGTGAGATGTGGCTACAGTTTAAGTGGGAAGAAACAAGCTACAGAAATACCCCGAGTAGGATCTATTTTTAAAAGCCCTAAAATTCTAATGAGTATAATACTTTTCCATAGCTATACGTACATAAAGATGGGATAATACACACCAAACTGTACGAGGTCATTACCTCTGGGGAGAGCTTCAGGACTGAGGCAAACCAGGGGAATTTAAAATTTTTTGAATTATTTTTACAGCAAATATGCATTTCTTCTAAAATGTGAATATTAAAGAGGATGAAATCGAGTCTATTTCAGCTCCTTTCCCTGAAGGTCAATGTAGTGAAAACCACCCAGTACATGTCATAATCGGAGTCTCCCGCGTCTTCAAGACCTCGCAGGTCAGCACTAGCAAAGGTCAGGTGCTCTGCTCACGGGAGCAGACACGGGAGCAGGAGGCAACGATCTAGGGGACAAGAGCCCACCACAGACCCCGACGAACCTGGACTTGAACTCTGGCTCTACCGCCGACCTGCTGCGTGGTCTCAGGTGAACCCTAGCTCTGTGGCGCCCCCGTTTCCTTGTGTAAAATGGGGCCAGTGACAACTACCTCGCAGGTGTCTAACCCACAGCAATCATGGCCATTTCAAATGATCAAAGTACATCTCAAACAGGAGAATCACTAAATCTGAGACCATAGTTGGGACCTGTCATTTCTATCTGAGGATTCACAGTGATATCTGTAGTTAGGCATATGAGAGAATATGAATTAATCAATACTTTATTCTCTTAGAGACCTGCATTGAAAATCAATTGTTCTTTCTTTCTTTCTTTTTATCCTCACCCGAGGACATTTTTCCATTTTTTTTGTTCAGGTAGAGTGGGAGGGGGAGAGGAAGGGGGAGAGAGAGAAACATCGACGTGAAAGAGACACATTGAGTGGCTGCCACCCGCACGACCAACCAGGGCCGGGGACAAACTGCAACTGAGGTACATGCCCCTAGCAGGAACCGAACCCAGGTCTCTCCGGACCGCAGGATGACACTCTAACTGCTGAGCCAAACCGGCCAGGGCTCTTTTTTATTTTTAAATCTTTTATTCTTTATTGATATTAGAGAGAGAGGAAGGAGAGGGAGAGAGAGATAGAAACATCGATGAGAGAGAACATCGATTGGCCGCCTCCTGCATGCCCCCCACTGGGGACTGGGCCCACAACCTGGGCATGTGCCCTGACCGGGAATCGAACCAGCAACCTCTGGTGCATGGGTCGACGCTCAACCACTGAGCCACATCGTTTGGCCCCTTCTTTTTTTAATTATCAGTTTCTAAATAGGTGCACAAGTTCACCTCCCTCCACACACATCACACACCCCTTAGCACTGCTGGGGAGGCAGCACTGGCACCCTTACCCACTGTGGCACCCAGTTTGCAGTTCCTCAGAGTCAAAGAGAATTACCATGTGACCCAGCCATTCCACTCCCAAGTTTACACCCCGAAGAACTGAGCACAGGTATTCAAATACATACTTTTTCATGAATGTTCACAGGAGCCCCATCCGTAATAGCCACAGGGTGGAAACAACCCAAATGTCCATCAGTGATGCACAGATAAACAAATCATGGTCCATCCAGATAACAGGACAATTCAGCCACAAAAAGAATGAAGCACCGATACATGTGTTACACTATGAATGAACCTCGAAAACATTACAGGAAGTGAAAAAAGTCGATACAAAAGGCAATATAAATGATTCCATTTATATGAACTTTCCAGAACAGGCAAATAGGTAAATCCAAGGCGAAGCACAGTAAAGACAGAAAGCAGATTAATGTTTGCCAGGGGCTGGGGGAGGGGAACGGGCTGGGACACAGGATTTCCTATTGGAGGTGACAAAACATGTTGGAACCAGACAAAGGTGATAGCAGCACACCATTGTGAATGGTCTAAAGGCCACCAAACTGTGTACACTTCAAAATGGTTCATTTTACATTATGTGAATTTCATCCCAAATTTTAAAAAGGGAAAGACTGCAAAGGAGAAATGAACTCAGATGGTCTTTTTATTGTTTATTTTATGTATGTATGCACGTACGTACGTATTTATTTATATCCTCACCCGAGGACATTCTGGCATTTAGCTTCAGATAGAGCAGGAGGGAGAGATGGAGGAAGAGAGAGAAACATCGATGTGAGAGACACGAGTGGCTGCCACCCACACGACCCCAACCAGGGCCGGGGACAAACTGCAACCGAGGTACATGCCCTTAGCGGGAACCAAACCCGCCGGGTCTCCCTGGACCACAGGCCGACGCTCTAACCTCTGAGCCAAACTGGCCAGGGCTTTATTGTTTATTTTTATCTTATTAGTTATTAATCCTCACCTGAGGACATGCTCATTGATTTTAGAGAGAGGGGAAGGGAGAGGGACAGGGAGATAGAGAGAGAGAAACATCAATTGGTTGCCCTTCACACAGCCCGACCGGGATCAGACCGGCACATGGGAAGATGACGCTCCAACCAAGCCCCCGGCCAGGGCCACTGTCCCCTTTGAACAGCACACGGCGCCAGCAGACAGTGCTCCCGACATCGGCCCTGCAGTCCACCCAGAGTGGAGCCGCATGCAGCCGGGATACGGCTCGTGGGTTGCCTAAGACCTCCCCACCCTGGCTCTCTCCGCAGGTTTGCGACTGTAAAGCTCAGTGGCCCGCTGGGCTGGCACCTGTTTTCAGCCCCTCAGCTTCTTTCCTTGAACAGCTGCCAGTTTCTTCTTCCTTTGTTTTCCCAGGAAAACGGACAGACCAGACCAAGCCAAAGCAAACAGGACCGGTGCTCCCAAGGGAGAAAGTGAACTTCCACTACCTGTTTTCTGGAGCTTTCTAGCCTTCCGCCGGCCTCCCTCAGCCCGAGGCCCTATTCCACACAACCAAGCCGTCCGGCCCACGCGGCGCCAGGCAGCACGGCGGGCGGTGCCAGTCAGGACAGAGCGCTGGGAAAGGAGCAGAGCCTCTGCACTGTCACTGGCACCGGAGTCGGCTGCATGGGGTCAAGAGCAAGGCTATGCAGGCACTCGAGAAGACCGGCGTGTCCCAGCAGAAACGCTGTCAGGTGCCACTACAGGCCACTACCAACCACAACGAACAGGGAGTGCCAGGCCGTGGGGACGTTTTGTTGGACACCAAGGAAAGACAGCTGGCAGCACTCCTCTGTCCCCAACTTGGTTGTCGCCGCCTCACTGGGTGAGCTGGGTTCACTCACACCGCAAACTGAGTGACGTCAGCGACTTGCGAGTGGCCGCCCAGGAAGACCTACCAGAAGCAGCAGCGGGCTGATCGGCTTCCAAGTCTCAGTGAAGACAGCAGACCCCCTGGGGACTTCTCAGCCCCCGTGATGACCCTACCAGGCCCGGGGAGCGCTTTCCTGTGCCTCCCTCGCTGCGACCACTTCCTGTCCATCTAACGGGCAGCACGACATAGCGCGGGGCCCCATGCCCCGTCCTCCACCACTGCTGACGGAGAAACTGCTCGGACCCGTGTGGCTTCCTCATGCAGGCCCTCTGTCAAGACCACATCTGCTGCTTACGTCCCAAAGCACCTACATACGTGGACAATATCTCAATAAAGCTGTTATTTTTCAACAGTACCTACATTTCCCCTATTTTAACGTTTGGATGAGGTATGGGTGAAGAACCTTCTAGAATGCCTACCGACGGTTAACCCGAGATGTGAGCAATATTTGGAGAGAAAGTGTGAACAGAGATGGAGAGACTGAAACAAGCATGGAACTTCTGGGTTTAAGTGGGGGGCAGACAGGCTGAAACGTGGGCTCAGGCCAGATGCAGGATGGGAACCCTCCCCACCCACGCCGACTTCACACGGGCTTAATCTCTACCTCATGTCACGAGAGGAACCTACCTGAACCTACAGCATGGGATTTTGTGAGGCTTAAATGACTGAAAACACGGAGGGTGGTTAAGACTTGGTGTTCAGTTAATAAACACGAGCTATTTCATGTGGAAATGGTGCAGGACAGAGCTCAGGGGAGGGGAGCCCTGCAGGAGGTAAGACTGGCAGCCGTGGAAATGACAAACACAAGCCAGATGTGGTCACAGGGACGCAGGGAGGAAGCGGAGGCAGGAATGAGAAGAGAACCGTCAAGGTCTGAAGCTGGAAGACCACAGACATGACGGCAGCACCAGAGCCCAGGCCTTGGGAAGGGGACTTGGCTACCTGGGAAGCAGGGCTCTCTCTGGGAAGGTCGAAGACTTGTTGAGAAAGGCCCTTGGCAAGACCTTGAGTTCAGAATTCAACTGGAGGTGGATCTGGGAGCCAAATCTTGCTCTTTTTAAAAATTTGTATTCATTCATTTTTTAAATTTAATCCTCACCCAAGGACATTTTTCCATTTTTGTTCAGATACAGTGGGAGAGAGAGAGAGAGAAACATCGATGTGAAAGGGACACATTGAGTGGTTGCCTCCCGCATGATCCCAACCATGGCCGGGGACAAATCACAACTGAGGTACTTGCCCTTGACCGGAACCGAACCCGAGACTCACTGGTCCGCGGGCCAACACTCTAACCGCTGAGCCAAACCGGCCAGGGCCAGATCTTGCTCTCTATGCCCAAAGGAAAACAGCCATTACATTTCCATTCACAGCAGACAAGTTCCCCTGGCTGCTGTGCTCATGATTCCATTTATGTACTAAAAATGTCTCAAACCGTATTTTGAAAAACATCACCTTCCTTGATGTCAAGTGGGGACAATTCAGGAGCAGACGGCCGCGCAGCTGCGCAGGGCTGCCAGGAAACCAGAGCAGCAGCCCGAGCCCGACTCCCCTGCGCCCGCGGCGCCCGCGGCACTGACCTGGTCGTCGGCAATGGCTTTCGCGAACCTCGCGCAGTCCAGCTGCAAGTAAATATCAGTCAGTTGGTCCAACAGCTTCTTTGGTTCAAAGCCGTATTTCTCAGGGTTTTCAACTTTCAGGTCCCGGCACTTGGGGCCACAGAGTTGCTGAAGATTAAAGTTCAGCATTGCAGCCAATCGGGGTCCAAGTTCCTAGGAAATCACAGGGCAATAGGACAATTCATGCTGTTGAGACAAGTGAGAAGGACTAAAAACTCCCATTTCAGTGGAGAAACAGGCGTTGGCTGGACTGGTCTTCAAAGAATTCCTTGTAAGTGCTGAAGAAAAACATTATATTCATAAAGTGTTTTACTTTCTATTTCTAATCCAAAAATTCTAATACTTAATAGAACGTCACAGGTTGATGGGAGTGTTTATAAACACCAACAAAAGACAACCTTTTCTATAAAGTCATGCTTTTAATTTATAAAAACAAGGATCACTCTAAATTTGTAAGAAACAGGTAACAGAGGGAAAATTATTCAAACTTCCATTATCATAACACAAGTCACAAGTTTCTGAGTATGCTCTCAGCCATCATTTTCTGCTTTACTTTTGTATAAATTTTGAAAGGCCCTGACAGTTCAGACAGTGGGCACCGTTCCTCTTTATCTATCAGATGCAAAGAGGAGAGAAATGCTAGAGAAGTGGAAGATAAAATGATCTGAATAGTTTTAAATCTGGCCAGTAAGACACAGCAAACTGAAACAAAACAACTAGAAAAGAAGCATAATGCAGTCCCCCACGAGCTGACACAGTACGACTGCTGCTGGGCACACACTGCTCCCAGCAAACCTGACACAGGGAAGTCTGCCGTGGAGACAGACAGAGCCAACACCGGTGAACAAGGAGCTGTGCAAGCTTGCCTTTCAGTTACAAGGTTTTCATTCAATTTAGTGACTGGATTTATCCAAATTCAACTTAAACTCAGCTTTTCAACTTAAACTCTGCTTTCACACAAAGTACTCCTGCATTTAAGAATTTGTGGCATAGCCCTGGCCAGTTTGGCTCAGTGGTTGGAGCGTCGGCCTGTGGACCAGAGAGTCCTGGGTTCAGTTCCCGCTAGGGGCATGTACCAAAAAATAAAATAAAATAAACAAAAAAAGAATTTGTGGCATAAAGGAGAGATGAAAATAGTATAGAGCTAGCCATTTGTCTTCCTTCTCAAGTGGGAGAGTTTTGTGCAGCGAAGGAAAAGAACACAGCAAAGCAGGCGCAGGAGCAGAGGCAGGCAGACATCACGGCCCAGGTGTGTAAACAGCTCAGGTCTATGCACAGGTCTTGAAAACATTCATTTCAACTACATGAAAAAATGAAACTTAACTTTCAATAATTTCCTTTAAAAAATAAGACTTCAGCCCGGCCGGTGTGGCTCAGTGGTTGACTGTCAACCCATGCACCAAGAGGCCGCTGGTTCGACTCCCGGTCAGAGCACATGCCCAGGTTGAGGGCCCAATCCCCAATGGGGGGGGCATGAGAGGGTGGCCAATCGATGTTCCCCCTCATCGATGTTTCTATCTCTCTCTCTCAAAAAAAAAAAAAAAAAAAAATCAATAAAGCCCTGGCCGGTTTGGCTCAGCGGTTCGTGTGTCGGCCTGCGGTCCAGAGAGACTTGGGTTCAGTTTCCGCTAAGGGCACGTACCACGGTTGCAGTCTGTCCCGGCCCTGGTTGGTCATGTGGCTGTGAGCCACTTTATATGTCCCTTTCACGTCGATGTTTCTCTCTCTCTCTCTCTTTTCCTCTCTCTCCCTCCCACTCTATCTGAACAAAAAAATGGAAAAATATCCTCAGGTGAGATTAAAAAAAAAAAATCAATAAAGAAAAAATAAATCAATAAAATAAAAAATGAAGACTTCAAAACTAAATGTGGGCTTCATGATAATTCAGTCTTAGTTTTTGTTTTCTACCTTCTTACAATCAAATGGCCCTGCCACTGGTTCTCTGAACATGAAATCAAACACAGTCAGGGCAGGGATTAAGCTGCTCAATGTTAGAACACGGCCACACCCACTTGTGCATGCATTGTCCGTGACCGTGTGCACTGTCCGAGACCATGTGTACCGTCCGTGCCTGCGCGCACTGTCCGAGACCGTGTGCACTGTCTGGGACGGCGTTCACAGCGCAAGCGCAAGGGCAAGGGCAAGGGGAGGAGCCATGGCACACACTGTCTGGCGCTTCCAGGTGAACTGGAAGAAAGTCCACTTGCAGCCCTGGAGGGAGGCCTGTGCCAGGAGGCCCCGTTCAGATGGGCTGCAGTGTTCCCATGCTCTCGACGGCATGCTGTCATGCTCCACTGCGCCTGCACCACAGTGAATTTACGAAGAGACGTGAAAGGGAATGGGGAGTGAGGAGGAGACTCATCTCTGAGTTGCGCACAGGCCAGGCTGTGGGGACAATGTTGGAGGTGAGAGTGAATATGGAGGAAACAGGTAACCCAATTACATTCCACTGGACACTTGTCTCCACACAGGGAATTCTACCAAATCTCAGGCCCGACTTGCCTTCCTCACCACCCTTGTCCTGGCCACACCCTAATGCTTCTACACTGTGAGTGGGGGGCGAAGGGGTGGGGTTCAGGTGCAGCAGAGATCTTCAGTTATGTCTCTCAGTTTAAATTTCAGAAACAGGATGCAGGTCTTATTAATCACGTCAAGGCCAAACATTTTGACAACCTTTGATCTATCATAAACTCTAATTATGGCTCTCATTAACCTTTGGCTTCTTGAGTGTAACAAAGCTGCACCTAAGAGAAGCAAAGATCTTAGACATTATCAATTATTTCTACTTAACATCCTTTCACTTCCAACTGATGTTATCTTTTCATATAAATAAAATACAGGTATCAATGATGATAAAAATATGTCACAGCTTTAACATTAACAATCAAAGTGCTACCTAAGCAGAAAGTGAGTGAAGTTGGAGGTGACCTCAGTCTATCAACACTGCTGTGTGTCACTGAGCTCACTGGGAACAGTGTCTCACTCAGCAGCGACTGGCACTGAAACGGGCAGGCTTTCAACAAGTCCACTCGGTTCCAAGGGAGAGAATCTGACTGTGGGATCCAGACGGAGCCGACACTCCCAAGTTTCTACTCACCGGTCTGAGGAATGGCTTCTGGACCTGCTTCGTGAGGATGTGGAACATGTCCACGGTTTCTGTGGCCAGGGCGAGATAGGAGCGTGAGACCCGCTCATCCTGAGCGAGCTGAGACTGACGGGCCTGCTGCTGGTCCTGGGAAAATTGAGCAGAGACCAAACAAACCTCAGTACTGGTCATGGGCTCGCCGACGCCGAGTGTGATGGCAAGTGCAGTCAGCTCAGGGGAAAGGGCACCACGAAGCCAGCTGCCCCGGGGAAGGCCAGGACACCCGCCCCAGTGAATGCTCCAGATCACTGACGTTCACTCCTGTCGGCACCAGAACTCTTTCAGACTTTGCGTAAGGTGACCTTGGTCCATTATTTAACTTACATGGACTCAGTTTCCCCTATGACAGAAGAAGTTACCATCAACTTCTATGCAGGATGAAATATGTGAATCTTACGTCGTGTCTGATAACACCTTGGTGCTAACGGGATGGTTTATTTCCCTTAGTAACAACTCTGACTTGGTCGTCATTACTTTAAAAACAGTAGTTGATTACTCTAAAATCAATAAAGAAAAAAAAAAATTAAAGAACAAAAACAAAAACAGTCCGGCCGGTGTGGCTCAGTGGATTGAGTGTCATCCCATGCACAGAGGCCTGGTTCGATTCCTGGTCAGGACACATGCCCAGGTTGCAGGCTCGATCCCCAGTGGGGGGCGTGCAGGAGGCAGCCGATCAATGTCTCTCTCTCACATCAATGTTTCCATCTCTCTCTCCCTTCCTCTCTGTCTAAAAAAATCAATAAAAACATATTTAAAAACAAGTAACAGTGTTTTGTATTTCTTTTTTTGAGAATTTCTATTAAGAGGTTATTTAAGCCAGACTGATGACAGGCTGGGAAGCAAGATCTCAAATGCTCCCATAATAGTGTTTTTTTAAAAGAACAAAACAAAACATGTGACATGAAACCGAGGTCTGGGTCTTGCCCTGCACCAAGCGCCTGTAAATTGCTGAGCTGAATCCCGTCTTTCCCACGGCTGGGCTGTCGCCCTGCGCCTGGCAGCACGCTCGCCCTGGCACGTCGCCTCCTTCAATTCTGCCACTTCAAGGAACAAGACACTGAGCTGGGAGGATCGTGGGCGGAGGAAGGTGGAACACTGGGGGCTCAGAGATGGGTAACACGGAGCCATTGTGAAGAAAGGCTTCCACGTGCTCAGGGGCCGGTCACCTGCACGTGGGAGGGCAGTGGGGCTGGAATCGCCAGAGTCTGAGCGAGTGACCCTAGACAGTGCCCTCCCAGGACCTGCTTGGTGGACATGCTGCAGTCATTCTGGGTGACCTCCCCCTCCCCCTGGGCAAGGAGGAGCCCACAGGACGAAAGGCTGAGGCGGGGGCCACGAGAGCGGCGAGGTGAGAAGTGCCTCAGCGTGCGCCCGGCGTGTCGCTCGTCACTGGCGCACATCCTCCAGCCCCTCCTGCAGGCCAGCCCTCTCCCCGCTCACCCGAGAGTGCAGAACGTGACCGATGAGGTCCCTGCCCGCGTGGGGCCTAGATGCCAGTTAGGGTGACAAGGGATGAACCAAGACACACCCAAACAGACACAAGTCTGATAGTGATGAAGAATCAACCAGGCAAGGGAAGAGAAGGGAGCTGGCGCCAGGAAATCTACTCCAGAAAGGGTGGTCAGGGAAGGCCTCCCTGAGGAGGTGACGGTTAAGTGGGAGCTGAGGGAAGCGAGCCAGCACAAACCGGGAGGGAGGCGTCAGGCGGAGGGAACAGCAAGTCCGGCAGCGGGACAGTCAGGAGTGCGGCTGGGTGGTGAGTGAAGGGGGGCCGGCACCGCCGTGCCCTCACGGCCACACTCTAAGTTGGGGTGTGAGGGATGGGGACCCGGGAGGGTTCTGACAGTGCCGTGATAATGAGCACCCCCTGGTATGTATGGAGATGGGCAAGGGGGGAGGCTGAGAGCAGATGGGGCAACGACAAAACCCAGACAAGAGACGGCAGAGGCCCGAAGGTGGGGAAGAGGCCAGATACGGACGTGCTTTGAGATGGGGCCTCGAGGTTCTGCTGAGGGGAGAGGAACCGAGGAAGACACCGAGTGCTGAGCCGGAGCAACTGCAGGACACAGCTGTCACCCAGAGACTGGGCAGTCTTCGAGGAGGTGAAGGGACCACCAGCGTTCAGTTTGGGACAAGTCAAGTCTGAGTACCTACGAGGCCGCCGGCAGAGAGGCAGGTCACCAGCGTCAGGAGTGACCTGAGCTGGGAAGACACCTTCTGGAGTCTTCAGAACAGAGAAATGTAAAGCCTTGGAACAGAAGAAACCACCCAGTGGTGATTTTCATCAGCCCCGTGTAGGGGTTTCCGGTGGCCTGAAGACTCAAGGGAGGAGGGCTCAGCACTGACTTTAAATGGACAAGAGCCAGATATGCTAAATGTCCTGCAGTGTACATGACAGTCGTGCATGAGAAAGAATTGTTATTACATCAAAATTCCACTACATTCCAAACACCAAGTAGCACTCTGGAGAAACACTGGGCTAGGGAGCAGTGTGGAAAAGCAGCGATGCCCGTGCTGAGCACAGGAGCTCGGAGGGCGAGGAGATGAGCGGCAGGGAGGTGGGAGGCAGGAAGAGACTTCAAAGTCAAACAGAACTGCTCTGAAACTGCACTCGTTAGGGATTATTCATGCCCTTCCCCACCCATTAACATAGACGAAATCAATACTATCTGTGCAGACATCTCAAACAAATGCTATTAAGCTCTGACTGGAAACAAGATAATGTCCACCATCTACGATATAAGCTGGTCCAGGAAAAGCTTCCGGAGCGGGCACGCCACAGTGTAGACAAAGCCGAGACTTTGCAGTGACACCGACCGGGGAAGGCCAACCACGAGGGAGCATCTGGATAAGACCTTACTCAAAGAATGGGCAGGATTTTAATATGTATAACGGACAGGAGTGTCTAAGGCAAAAGAAACAAGGGGAGCTACCCACGCTGGGCACCTTCTCCGGCCAGCCCTCCTGCGTACGTGCCATCCACCGCCTCTCCCGGCACGGGAGGACTGATCTGATTTACGGACGAGGAAACAGAAATTAAGAAACTTGAATGTGAGGCAGGGTCAGTTCTCAAACCCAGGGCCCTGGACGCCAAAGCTCGGGGTCATCCCACTAGGCCTCTCTTCCTGCCCCGTGTGTCGTGCGAGGGCCGGGAGCGGCGTGGGCTGGAGCTGACTGGCCGTGGTGCGAGGTAAGCTTGGAAGGATGTCTTGGAGCTGCCCTGGGAGGCATCTGGGGGATGGGGAGCTGTGGGAGGGAGGTTTTGGAGGCACAGTAGCAAACGTTAAGGTGTGTTTGGAAACGAGTATGAGCGTAGGGGTAAGAAGGCACCCAGGGGGTGTCAGTACTGTGCCGAGGAAGACGAAGACCACGGTGTTATCTCAACAACACAACCAGAGGGGCTCCAGGAGCGTGAGGCAGGAGAAACCCAGCATTCACAGACCCTGGGCAAAGCCCCCCAAAAGGTTTAAGTTTGTAGTTTAAGCACGTTGGCTAGACCACAATACAAAATTCTCAAAACCGCAGGTATGCGTGGAATAAAAACTTTTCCCAAATGTGCTTCAGGACCTTACGTTTAATGAACTTTCTGATGCCACAGCATGAGAACCTCAACAACGTTTTCATTTTAAGAAGCTACTGCAGGTGGAGAAAAACTGGTCTTCCCCACCTGGGCATATGAACCCCTTCTGGAAAGCAGTTCTGATTCTGAGCTTCACAGTAGCGGAACAGAACTAACAATGAATGAAGTCAGCAGTCGCTCTCAAGGGCCTGGTACTGACCGGGGAACAGTCTAAACGGCTGCAGTAAAGGGCAGGGCAGGGCACTGGGCCATCAGTGGCAAGGCAGGATTTTCTCATGGAACCTGGCGAAACAGGGCCTCTTTTCCATTAACAACTGAATAGAAAAACGAAGATCAATTGAAAGAAAGGAACCCACCAGAATCCTGAGTGATCCACATAGATGCCTAAAGATCATACGCAATTCTTGTCTAGTAGACAGAATTTGAGATTTCCTTGTTGTTTTCATAAATCTTAATCAACATATTCAGATACTAAAAGCTTTTTTCCAAAAAGCCTTTTGCAATAAAAAGGCAGAGCAAGTTTCCTGGACACATCTGGAAAGACTCCACAACTCACTTCCTAGCTTCAGAGCAAGTGTTTACGTTTTCTCCTGCCCCGACCGGGGCTGTAACTTCACGGCAGCCCACAGGCAGAGGGACAGGCACTGACAAGGAGCCAAGTGCAGTCCTGGCCCCACAGGCGGCCTGGCGAGGCCGCCCTCAGGACTGCGCCCGCCCTGTGCTGCGCTCACCCGGGGCAGCTGCTCCCACTGCTCTTTGTTCTTCATCTCCTCCTGCACTTCGTGGATCCGCTTCAGGGACTCCAGACTTTCGTCGAGCAAAAACGTCGTGTCGTTGATCAGCATGTTTATATAGCGAACGAACTGCTTCCCAGAACTGAAAAGGCAATTACATGGGATGTGGTCATACATCTCCCTGCAGCGAAACGCTGAGCTCAACTTGAACACCACGCAGGTCAAGGACAAGTGTCTCCTGAGGTTTTGTTGTCCTTTGTAACTAACTGTGATGAGCTCGTTTCCGGGATGTCTGGAGCCCCCTGCAGACTCCTGAGAGCCAGCTGCTGATGCTCCGCAATTCTGTGAGCAGGTTCCCACGGCAGCTAACACTCGGCCATCTTGGAACCCAGAAAATCAGCACCTGCTGCTTTCTCCATCAGAGAGCAGGTTTACCAGCACACCCCTGGCTCGTTCCCTCAGTGACTTTAAGTAGAGAAAACACTCTTCCAGACCAGAAAAGAAAATATGCTTGAATTCACCAGAGTAAAAGAAAGCCCCAATGACCCCCCAGGGACGAGAGAGCTACAGCAATCCCCACTGTGAAGGGGGTGCACGCAGGAAACCTGGAAGCTGCAGTGCTGACAAGGCTGCGCCCTCTCCAGAGCCTGGTGCTTCCCTTCTGCGGCACCGCCCTGCGCCCCAGCTTCTCCTGCGGGGACGAGCTGGCGCTTCCCTTCTGCGGCACCGCCCTGCACCCCAGCTTCTGGTGCGGGGACGAGCTGGCGCTTCCCATCTGCGGCACCGCCCTGCACCCCAGCTTCTGGTGCAGGGACGAGCTGGCGCGCTCCGGTGGCCTGACCAACCTGAGTCAGTCTGCAGGGCCAGGTTACTAGAGAGAAGAGGGGCTACACTTCGGGACCTCCCACTGTGGACCGGGCCGGTCAGCCCAGGCCTGGGGAAGAGAAGTTCCTGTGAACAAGGGCGGAGGCCTGGATTTCAGGAACATGGAAAGTTCCGAGCACCACACAGATCAAGCTGTGGGCCCGCCTGGTTTCCTAAGCTTGTGCCAGGCTTCCGCTGGAACATAATCCTGACTACAAGAGCAGTTCATGGAAACAAAGAATTTATTCAGTTTCCTTTGCAGAAAGCTATTCAGCAGATGCTTAATCCACTGGTAATATGTATATTATTGACTAGCAACTCAGTTAACGAGTGACAGCCAGACTTGATCAAAGATCTAACAGGGATTGCAAAAAAGATCCAAGTAGATGGGATAAAATTTCTCCTGAAGAATAATTAGAGAGTTCAACATTTTCGTCTACATTTCTTTTTAAAGTAATTTAGGTGGAATTTCTAATGTCCAGGTTTGTAGGTGCTGATATTCCAGGTGGGCAATGAAAAGTCCTTAATCAAGGTATAGGGCCTTACTACAAAGACGGACACTTCAAACGACAGGCCTAACAAACGACAGGCCTAACCTAACTGCTTCTGAGTCTAAACTCCTCCTAACACTTCTAACTCTACAACTCGACATCGTGTTCAACAACACTGTAAGATCTCATTGTAATCATTCAGACAACTTCCTTTAACACTGTAATCACAGAAACACTTAACACATCATCTCAGAATATTTACTGATCTTTCCTTATGTACACCATCCCCAAGGTATCTTGACAAATCTAACCTTCAGCAAAATCTCCATAAGCACCGGCATGTAAATAACCCTACTCACATGAAGCAGGACCATCTGGAAAGCTGAAAGGAGGCAGAGACCAGGCAAGCAGTCAGCGAGAACCAGCTGGGAGAGCTGTCAAGCAGCCACTCTGCCTGTGACTTGCAAGAACAAGCCGTGAGATTAGGGGCCCAATACTCACTTGAACTCCTCCATGAAGGTGCCGTGGTGAGCTATGTTTTGCCAAAGGCTTTTAAAAATGGTGCTAATGTGATAGCGAATGGTGAACTTGTCATAGAACTCACTGGTAGCTCCGGTGTGCTCGACATCTAGAAAAGAAAGACAAAGGGACTGAAGGATGATACTTCCTTACCTCCTTAAAGGTGGTTACGGCTGCTATAATGATTGCGTTAAATTTTATCAAGGGCCACGTACCTATCAAGTGTGACTACTACTTTAAACACTTTTGTATTAGGGACATTTTCAAACATGTACCAAAGCAGAGAAGAGCAGAGTGAATCCCCATGTACTCATCACTCATCTACAATGACCAACATCCATGCACCTATTCAAATACGATACAGATCAAATGGTTATTCAAATGACAAACAGCTTAAGTCTGAGAAATTCCTGAATTCGTGACAAGTTTTCAACAGAGGAAAAACTGTTAGGTAAAGACAGTAAGACTTAAGAAAAAGATCAAGTAAATTAACACATTGTTGACCGCTCACGAGTTAATGTGTTTTCCTGCCCAAACGTTGCTGACCGCTCATGAGTTAACTCGTGTTTGCACTTCCATTAGCTATTTCAATTTTTGAAACTCAGGGTAATATAGGATTATTGTATTTGTGACTTTTTTTTTAATCCTCACCCGAGGACATTTTTCCATTTATCTTCAGATAGAGTGGGAGGGAGAGAGGGAGAGAGAGAAAGAAACATTGATGTGAGAGAGACACATCAACTGGTTGCCACCCACATGACCCCAAACTGCTACCGAGGTACGTGCCCTCAGTGGGAACCGACCAGGACTCTCTGGTCCGCGGGCCGATGCTCTAACCACTGACCTAAACCGGCCAGGGCTGTATTTGTTTTTTTTTTATCCTCACCCGAGGACATTTTTCCATTTTTTGTTCAGGTAGAGTGGGAGGGAGAGAGAGAGAGAAACATCGATGTGAAAGGAACACATCGAGTGGCTGCCACCCGCACAACCGACCAGGGCCGGGGACAAACCGCAACCGAGGTACGCGCCCTTAGCGGGAACCGAACCCGGGTCTCTCAGGACCGCAGGCCGACGCTCTAACCACTGAGCCAAACCGGTCAGGGCCCAGGGCTGTATTTGTGACTCTTCGCCCTGAAGGTTGAAGTTCAAAAACCAGCACCCGTTCTATATTCTTGGAGTAGCAAGGGAATGGATATCTGCTGGTTTAAATGAGTGCAGCTCAGAACCTAACATTCCTCTGGTACTTCTAAAAGAGCTCCTTACATGACTCACCTTTTAGGCTTTTAGGGCAGTCTTTTAGCATTTTAAAAACATAGTCACTGGTATAAAAAAAAATAATCCAACTAGAATGTGTAAAGTGTGTGTTTCAAAAGGTGACTGCTACAGTGTACCACACCAAAAAAATTACTAAAATATATAATTTGTATAAAACATAATATATAGAAGATATGTACAAAGTTTCATTTAAATTAATTATGTATAAAGTATACTGAAGTTTATTTAGATTGTTTCACTTTCATATGCAATTATGAAAAAATAGCCGGTGACATGAGATAACTTCTGCGTAAAATTGCCGGTCTACAATGTGGTAAAATCAGATTTTTTTTTTCACCCATCAAATTGGCAGACATTCCAAAATGACAATACTGAGTGTAGGTGAGAATCTGGGGAAACAGACACTATAAATGCAGGTGGGAGTGAATGGTGATGCACCTTCTTTATGGCAATTTGATAAAATGTATCACAACTCGTCAATGTGCCCATTTCTCTGACCCACCGATTCTATTCAAGAAAACATACAGAGCCGTGCCTGGTTCGGCTCAACGGTTAGAGTGTCGGCCCACAGACCAGAGAGTCCAGGGTTCGATTCTGGCCAAGGGCACATACCTCGGCTGCAGTTTGTTGGGGAAGGGGGCTTGTGCGGGAGGTAACCAATCTCTCTCTTCTTCCCTCCCACTCTATCTGAAGATAAATGGAAAAATAGCCTCAGGTGAGGATTAAAAAATCAGAATCTCTTTCTAAGTGATTGACAAACAAACAAAACCCCCACATACAAGCCCGTTCAAAGACTGATCTCCAAGGATACACACTAAAGTACTATTTACATCAGAGAAAAAATGTAAGTAATCCAAATGGCAAGAGAACATGAGAAAATATTTGTGATATATTAAGTGAAAACCACAGGTTAGCAAACAAAATACATAGTTTGGCCCAATAATATTAAAACACACACATTCTATATATATACACAAACTGACTGGAAAGATACAGAACAAAATCTTAATAAAGATTCTCCCTTGAATGCAGAGATTATCAATGATTTTTATTTTCTTCTTGGTATTTTCTATATTTCCCAACAAACACATTTTTTGTGACTAAAAACTGTTATTTTAAAAATAAAAGGAACAAGCTAATTCACATTTACTACACAAAGACCTGAAATCTCTTATGAATGTTCATTAGGTAAACCCTTTTTAAAGAGGAATTGTCGTATGAAGAAATGCTCAGCATCACTAATCATCAGAGAGATGCAAATCAACAATGAGGTATCACCTCACACCTGTCAGAATGGCAGCCATCAACAAATCATCAAACAAGTGTTGGCGAGGGTGTGGAGAAAAGGGGACTCTAATACATTGCTGGTGGGAATGCAGACTGGTGCAGCCACTATGGAAAACAATACAGTGTTACCTCAAAAAATTAAAAATTGAACTTCCATTTGACCCAGTGATCCCACTTCTAGGAATATATCCTAAGAAGCCTGAAACACCAATCAGAAAGACTATATGTACTCCCACGTTCATAGCAGCATTATTTACAATAGCTAAGATCTGGAAACAGCCCAAGTGTCCATCAGTAGACAAATGGATAAAAAAGCAATGGTACATATACACAATGGAGTACTACACAGCTGTAAGAAAGAAAGATCTCTTATCCTTGAGACTACATGGAGGGACCTGGAAAGTATCATGCTAAGTGAAACAAGCCAAACAGAGAAAGACAAGTATCATATGATCTCACTTATTTGTGGAATATAATGAATATAACAGTCTGAGGAATGGGGTAGTCCCAGAGACGTGGAAGTGGGGTACAGACTGACAATCCCCAGAAGAGGGGGTGGTGGGGGAGAGATAAACCACAGAACTTATATGCATGTGCATGAATAGTGGACATGGACAACAAAGCTGGGAACAGGGCAGGAAGGGGGGGAGGGGGAATCAGTAGGGGGAAAAGGAGAAACATCTGTAACAAAAATTAATTAATAAAAAATAAATTAAAAATAATAATAAAAAGTTTTTAAAAATTAAAGCAAAAAAAAAAAGGAATTGTCATTTTATTTTTGCATTTATCTTCAGAAAGAGTGGGAGGGAAGAGAGAAAGGAAGAGAGAGAGAGAGAAACATCGATGTGTGAGAGACATATCGACTGGTGCCACCCACACGACCCCAACCAGGGCTGGGGACAAACTGCAACCGAGGTACGTGCCCTTAGCGGAAACCGAACCCAGGACTCTCTGGTCTGTGGGCCGATGTTCTAACCGCTGAGCCAAACCGGCCAGGGCAAGTGTCATTTTATTAATTGTATAAAAGTGTGAACGTAAGTGTGAACTGATTTAGCAGAGTCCACAAAAGAAAGACCCCAGGGGGTACACACAGAGCCTCTTATACCCGCTAAATTGCACTTAATATCTGTACTGTATCCTGAACATAGCAGAGGCTAAGTACCTACGGTTAGCTTATTACTCATCAATATACATCTCTCCCAACATTAAAAAAAAAATTCATTCCTAATGTTCCGTCAAAACGACTTTAGCCCAAATTCTAATTTCAAGCCCTAGTTCTAAGAGGCCTGAAATAAACTAGACCCCTGCTGACCTGACCCCACCTGCCCTTGCTGGCTGCAATCCCACCTTGCCGTCTCCTGGCTGCCTTCTTGATTCATTAAGCTGGCTGACCTCAGGGCCTTTACACTTGCCTCAGTTGCCTGCCACACTGTGGCTGGGCTCTTATGGTTCACTCTTTTGTCTCGTTTTCAATGTTACTCCAAAGTCATCTTCTTGGAGACCTTCCCTGACGATAGGTCTTAAAGTAGCACCATGCCCCCCCCCCCAACTCACTACTAAAAAGTATTTTATTAAGTGGTTCAGTGTCTCTCAACTAGAACATCTGATCCGCAGTGGCAGAAATTTTGAAATCTTCACCGATTGGCCCTAGCATCAACACACGGCAGGAGCTTCATAACTATTTGCTGAATTAGTGATGGACTCCGCTTGGGTGAATGCTGGCCTTGCTGATTCAGATCAGCTTGGGGAGAGAAGAGTCTTGAAGTAAGTTTCGGTTATGAGTGTTCCTTTAAGTTCTGAGGAGCCAACTTTTGACAGCTGGTCCTTAAAGGAACTGACCACTGTGATACAAATAAGATACTCTCATTTTGAAACAAAACTTTATTTTTGAAACAAAAAACAGATCTTAAGCATTTTCTAAGCTAGCCTACTCTCCCTGGGGTATAAAAAGGTGCTTGTGCCGTATCTGTTTCACACGCCCGAGTCAGACATGTTCAGGGGTCAGGCCCCACATCACAGGTCTCAGCATGGATTTGATGGACATGTGGGGAGTGTCTGGGATACCCCACTGCAGGCTCTCTGGCGCCAATCCCTTGGTAACTGTAGGAGGAAAAGCACAGCAGCCAGGAGCACCTGTGCTCAAGTCCAACTGCTGAGGTTGCTGCCCCTCGCTAGCTGTTGACCTTCAGCAAACTTCTTGACCTTTCTAAGCTCCAGTTTCCTCATTTGTAAAATGGAGATATTTATAGCGCCCATCTTGAGGACTGCGGTGGGGATTAAGTGAAAGGATCAGTAAAAGGTATTCAATAAATGGTGGCTATTCTTAGCACGGGTCTCATTTCTCCATGATTACAGAGGCGTCCAGGGCCAGAGGGCACACCGCTTGGTGGGAGACGGGAGGGAGAACACCCGCCCACCAGCAACAGGGACCTTCCCAGAGGGGTTCCACCAGGCCCAGCTCCGTCCCTCACACCTACACACCCCCTTGTCCTTTATGCAGAACCACAGTAACAGGTCCAGGGCACTGAGTACAAAATACATTTAACTTCTGTGGTTTTAATACTAACAATACATGTTTACGGTAGAAAAATTAAAAAGTTCAGACAGCTAAAAAAAAAAAATAGGAAAGAAAGAAACTACTCACAACTCTACCATTTAAAAGTAACCAACTCCCTATTAATATTTTGGTATATATTCTTTTATACTTTTTCTATCTCATATATATGTATCAAAATGTGGCCATAATTTACATACTGTTTTATTACTTGGCATTTTCTTGACTTTTTATTACCTATCCACTTAATGTAAATAACACTATTTTTCCTGGCTCATATAGATCTATATGGATAAACTATAATGTAATTAATTTATCCACAATTAGGCTATTTTTAATATTTTCACTACACTGAACTACATATAATACTGAATTATTATTATTATTATTTTTTAATCCTCACCTGAGGATATTTTTCTCTATCTTCAGATGGAGTAGGAGAGAGGGAGGGGGAGAGAAAGGGAGAGAGAGAAACATCGACCTGAGAGAGACACATTGATTAGTTGCCTCCCGCACGACCCAGACCAGGGCCGGGGACGAACCGCAACCAAGATACATGCCCTTAGCCAGATCGAACCCGCGACTCATTGGTCTGCAGGTCGACGCTCTACCACTGAGCCAAACCAGCCATGGCATGTTGATTATTATTTTAAACATTTACATACATTTATAATTGTTCCCATAGAATAGAGTACTAAATATTAAGTTCATCTGTATGAGGATGTGCTGGTTATTTAGCTGCTGTCTCTCTGCCCCAGATCCATCCTTTATACTTGACTTTGTGAGGCTGCAGCAAACAGTTCTCTTTGCAGCTCGCCACTTGTTAGGTTCGCCAACAGGGGGCGCTGCGGGAGACCAGCCAACTGAGGCTGAGGGACTTGGATCTCTGGCTGGCTTGCTCCCCCAGCAGTAGCAGTGGTTGGTTCTGGTTCCCAGCTGTGTTCCATACTCACAGGACTAGCAACCTTGCACCCCGCAGACACACCAACCCAGCTGGCCAGTGTCCTTCCTCAGAGGCCTAGGTCCCAGTACTGTCCCAGCCCTCATCTGAGCCTCTACACTCCAAGAACCCCAGTCTCTTCACTCGGTTCCCACAGCCCAGGGGACAGATGATGGCTGGCTGCTTCCTGCACTTACCATCTGTGTTACTCCAACGTTCCTTACTTGCCTTTTCTGCCTTCAGATACTTATTTGACCAGTTCCTTACCATATTCTATTTTTAAAAAACTGGTATGTTTCTGTTTTCCTGACTGGACCTTGCCTGACAAATAGGATACACACGTTTACGGCTTCTGCTGCGGACGGCCAAGCCGCCTCCCAGCAAGGCTTCCTCAGTGTGCATTCTCACAGTGTTTCACGGCACTAACTCTGCACACTAGCCACGGGGAGAGACATCAGGCATTTGAAGGTCAGCTTCTTTCTCTACAAGCATATTAACAGGAGGCAGTCTCATCTTAAAGATACATCTGCTAGGTGAAAGTGGTCCCTCATCATTCTTTCCAGAAATGCAGAATGATCTTCCATTCGACTGAGCCTGAGAGGTGCAAGGCCCTGTGGCCCTTCCCACCAGGGCTCGGAGACAAAAGGAGACCTGGGGAGCCAAGAAGGGCCTTCTACCCAGCAGTATTCTCTGCTGTTGCCAAAGTGAGGCTGTTAACAAAACTTCAAAGGGCTTCAGAAACACTTGGATGCCACAAAATAATTGTGACAACGGGGAAAGGACGCAGAGAGATTCCCAGAACCCTCAGAAGTGAAGAGAGATGCCTGTATCGGCCCAAATAAGCAGAAGCGGGTCTTGGTCAACAGGGAAGGGATGGCTGTCACCGAACACAGAGGAATCCTAACCGCTGTTGTTGCTGTGAACAGCCAGGGACTGTGCTCTGGAGACCGGTGATTCTTCCGAGCGCACGGCGAGCGTATTCTACCAAACGCCAGACACTGAGTGCCCAGAATGTGCAGGTTCAACAGAAGACAGGCGAGACATACTTCCTTTCCCGAGAAATGTATAAACTGGAGGAAAATTCTCCGTCAGTACAGTGCTGTGCCCTCAGGAGAGGACAGGTGAACAGGTCCCATAGGCAATGGGCTTTATGAAAACACTTTTGCAAATGAAAAATGAAAATGTGGAATACAATCCCACCGGGAGCGGAGGCCTTCCTTGCAGAGTGTCTGATGTGTTCTTAGCCGTGTTCACCACTGTCACCGAGCACCTAGACCATGGCCTGGCACTCAGCAAATGTGGAGAATTGATGAACGCGGGAGACTTCCAGAGATCCTGATTCCACTGGTTTGACAGGGGTCCCCAAGAATAAGCATTTTAAACAAGCTCCCTGTTTTACCCATTAGTTTCAAAATGTTGGGTTACAGGACAGTGTTACAAAATCAATGCTGTTAGTTCAAAGCTAAAATGAACCTGGTATTTTCAGATAAAAACACCAACTTGTGCTGCTGACTGCAACTGGATCTCAAGGACTAGGACGAGAACGATCGTGTAACAGTCCACAACCCAGGAGAGAACCAGCAGCACGTGCTCTGCTGGCCGAGGGCTACTAGGTCAGACGTTTCAGTGATGTCAGGATGCTGGGTAACAGGTTTAGCATAACTTTATCCACTGGCTTTTGATGGCCTTCCTACCTGTAATCCCAGGAACCTACCTGTATAAAACTTCATCAGGGAAGGGACCAATAATTTGGTGGAGAGAGGATGGTTCTCAATCATTTCAAAAAACTTCTGGGTTCGTGGCTGGACAGCAGGGTTGGTCATAAACATGACTTCTACCAGTTTGGCCACCAGGTATGGATTTCGGATGTAGTTCTGGTTGCACAACATCACAACGAGGAACATCACAATATCCTGAGTGCAGGGCTCATAGAGCACCTGAGGCGAGTATCTGAAGAGGGGTGAGGGAACAGGAAATAAAGCTCTGAGAATCTCGACCTGGGTGGATGCTGGTGTCCTGAAGAGGGGAAGGGGACGGACAGCTCTAGGGGCCAGGATGCTGGATTCCCTTGAACTTGCTGAGCTTAATGTGACCATTTACATTATAACTAGACAGACTTAAAACCCATCATGTCTATTGGCCATAACATTTTATACTAATTTATGTTTCCGAAAATAAACTAAAGCTACAATTAAAATCATCTTGTGGATTTCAAAAAAGATCTTCACCACCCAGAACACTTAAAAAAAATTGTTTTAATGGCCCGGCCCATGTGGCTCAGTGGATTGAGTGCTGTCCCATGGACTGAGAGGTCTGGGTTCAATTCCTGGTCAGGGCACATGCCTGGGTTTTGGGCTAGATCCCCAGTAGAGACCGTGCAGGAGGCAGCCAATCGATGTTTCTCTCTTACATCGATGTTTCTACCTCTCCCTTCCTCTTTCTAAAAAAAAAAACACAAAACATACTTAAAAAAATTTTTTTAATGGAGTTGTTTTAATTTTTAAACATCTAAAAATTAGATAAACTCAACCCTTTACTTTGTAATCTTTCTCCAATTCTACCATAGAGAAAATATTTGGGACAAAATAAAGATGTAGGTATTTCTGGCTTTTGAATGTTCACGCAGATATTTATAAACTGCTCCTACTTTTTCTCAGAAACACACCCTCAACCGTTAGAAACTGAACTCAGTTTTCGCAGGCCTCATCATCAGCACTGCCAGCCTCTCCTGGCTCCGAGGCAGTACTGGAATTGGCCTGGCGCTACAGTTTGGATTTATGTTTTCAATCTCCTGGCAGCAGTTAAAGCAGCTACACAAAATTTCAGGCATAAAATGGAGGTTTGCAATATAATCCATCTTATAATATATATAAAACATTTAAAACCACATTAGAGCTATGTAGTATGTTAAAGGAACTTACTGTACAATAAAAAATAAAAATTCAGCAACATCTTCTACATAAAACTCAGGCAATGCTGCAAACGCCTTGGGGACGTCTGAACTTAAAGGCAGTGTCACACTGTCAACGAGAAGAGAAGCACAAGGGACAGTGTGAGACGACAGTCACACCCGTACTTTAATAACACTTTCCACTCTGGCAGAGGGTTCGGGCCAACGTCGGGGATGCACTCGATACTAACGATAAAATGGTAATAATAAGTGAAATAAAAATGGCTGCCCGGAGGAGCTGTGCGGGTGCTGATTCTCCAAACTGGCAATTTCCAGGGCCCAGCGCTGAGGAGAGCCCAACCTCCTGTTAACTCCAGCTTCTAGCTTCTAATTTATAGATTTCATTTTCTATAATCAAAGATTGGTAAAAATCAAAATAAAGCCAATTTTTTTAAAGCACCATGTCAAAATTAAAATTGCAGGTGTTGACATTGCCTTATTACTGTAACTAATTACAGAGAAAATATTGATTAATATTACTAATTTCAGCCCTGGCCAGTGTGGCTCAGCAGATAAAGTGCTTGGCCCATGAATCGAAGAGTCATGGGTTTGATTCACGGTCAAGGGCACATACCTGGGTTGCCGGTTTGATCCCTGACCCTGGTCTGGGCACATGCAGGTGGCAAACAACTGATGTGCCTCTCTCACATCAATGTTCCCCCCACACACACACAGCCCTTCCACTCTCTCTAAAAGATCAATGGAGCCCTGGCCAGTGTGGCTCCATGGTTAGAGCATCAGCCCAGGCACTGAAGGGTTTCGAGTTCGATTACACATCAAGGACATGTACCTGGGTCTCTGGTTCAATCCCCTGCCCCTCTGGGGGCTGTGCGGGAGGCAACCAATCAATGTGTCTTTCTCACATTGACGTTTCTCTCTCTCTCCTCTTCTCCCCCTCCCTTCCACTCTCTCCAAAAATCAATGGAAAAAATATCCGTGGGTGAGAATTAACAAAAGAAAACAATTAAGATCAATGGAAAGAATATCCTTGGATGAGGATAACAACAACAAAATGACTGACTTCATAGTCGACATATGTGCAATCTGGAAACTGAGAAATGGATTCTTGGTAGGGAAGGGTTCTGGCTCTCAGCTGCGGACTGTGAAGAAACAGTAAAGACAGCAGAGCCCGGACGAGCAGACGCGAGGGAAGAGGAAAGAGCACACTCACTCGGGGTAGGCAGGGTCCAGGATGCGGAGCAGCAGCTGAATGAGAAGGCCATAAAAATTCAGACATCTTCTCAGGAAGCTCTCGTCAAGTAAACCAGCATCAGCACAGGCCTTGCATCGTACCAGTTTCTGTGGAAGTAGGCATGGCCCAGCCATGGTTAGTTGGTGGCTAGTTCCTGCGGCGCTGGGTGGGGAGTGGGCCAGGGGAGGGGCAGTCTGGGACTTCAAGAGCTTCACCGCTAACTAGCTTAGGATGTGGGTCATATTCTAAGAAAAACAAAAGGTATGTCATACAGACCACTGCACACGCTGAGTGCTCAAAGGCAGGTCACTGCTGCCAGATTTAAATAACGTGGTTGGGGAGGGGCTGGCAGGGGAGGCTCTCGGGTGTCAGGGATGGTTAGTGGGAAGAAGCCAGACAAATTCAAGGTAGAATTCCAGGTCACCACTTACGAGCTGCCCTTGGGTAAAATGCCTGTCCACCAAGGGCGCACCACCAACCTCAGAGGATCGCTGTGAGAATACACACACATGTGTGCGCACATACTGACACCGTTAACAGTTTACAGACATCTTGAAACATTATCTGTGGAGTGCTTAAGGGTTCTACAGAGCACAGATAAGAGCCCATGGTTTATCCTGCATCTCAAAGAGGTCTAATCTCGTAGTAAATAAAACAAAAATAAACTCTTAACTTATGACAGAAATCCAAGTCAGATAAAATTTCTACACATTATCCCACCAAACAACAGGAAGCATGACCAGCTAACATTCAGCTTTCTGATTTGAACATAAACGTAAGAAAAATGAATAAATTTGCTATCTGTGCTTTCCTTGTACAACTTTTTCTTAATAGTTAGGTTCTGTGTGATGGGTCATTTTCAATTGAAAATGAAGAAGGAGCCCTGGCCAGTTTGGCTCAGCAGTTAGAGCACTGGCTGGAGGACCAAAGGGTCACAGGTTCAATTCCAGGTCAAGGACACATACCGAGGGTGCAGGTTTGATCCCTGGCCCCAGTCAGGGACATGTGGGAGGCAATCAATTGATGTATCTCTCTCACACTGATGTTTCTCTCTCTATTTCTCCCTCCTATCCTCCCACTCTGTCTAAAAATCAATGGAAAAGTATCCTCGGGTGAAGATTAAAAATGAATGAGCCTTGGCCAGTTGACTCTGCAGTTAGAGCGTTGGCCCGCAGACTGAAGGGTTGTAGGTTCGATTAGCAGTCAAGGGCACGTGCCTGGGTTGCAGGTTTGATGTCCAGCCCTGGTTGGTTGGGGTCATGTGGGAGGCAACCAATCAATGTGTCCCTCTAACATCAGTGTTTCTCTCTCTTTCTGTCTTTCTCTTCCCTTCCCTCCCTCCCTTCCACTCTATCTAAAAATAAATGGAAAAATATTTTTGGGTGAGGATTAACAAAACAAAACAAACAACAAAAGAAGAATGAGGTGCAAAGAAATCTCTCCACTACCACAAATCTTTGTCAAACACCATGAAAATGCATGGACAGATAGGATGGAGTGTGTCTTGGTGTGCAGGGTTGAGTAGTGGATGGGAAGGATCTTGCTCAAGGAGGGGAAAGGGAGGTGATGTTAAACTGAGGATGACAGAATCGATTAAGAATGCCTGATGTCACTGGCAGAGTATATGCACAGTCTGCCCTGAGATTTCAATATTATACAGATACATGCAAAGCACCAAGTTTTTAGATGTACCGTTTTATCCTGGGGGGAAAGAATAATAAAGAGAAGGAAAGGACAGGAAAGTGCTTACTCAAGGCATGTATTCCAGTGGGAAATGTACTATTACGAGGCTGGTCAATACGTACTGCAATGAACTATACGGACCTTAAGCTGAGTTTTGCATCGCTTCAGCATTTCGCGGTGTCTAGTTGCCAGTGGGGAATCTTTCCATTGGCTTTCATTATTTTTCAAATCTTCTACGGTTCTGAAATAAAAAACTAATGGTCAAATTAAAGAAAACACACAGATCCATTACCTATCTTATTATTCATTTTGAACATTTCACTGATTCTCATATTTGCCCCCCAATTTTAGCATTTCTAAAATAAGAGAATATCTTACAACGATGGTAAATTATGGCTTAATCAGAGCAGCATTTTTCATTCTTTTTTTTTTTTTTTTTTTTTTTATCCTCACCCGAGGACATTTTTCCATTTTTTGTTCAGGTAGAGTGGGAGGGAGAGAGAGGAACAGAGAGAGAGAGAGAGAGAAACATCGATGTGAAGGTACACATCGAGTGGCTACCACCCGCACGACCAACCAGGGCCGGGGACAAACTGCAACCGAAGTACATGCCCTTAGCGGGAACCGAACCCGGGTCTCTCAGGACCGCAGGCCGACGCTCTAACCACTGAGCCAAACCGGCCAGGGCAGCATTTTTCATTCTTATTGATTCCTAAAATGATGTCTTAAAATTGATGACACTTTGGATGTGATAAAATATAGTTAGCTCTTTGGGAAGGAAATAGATGATTCCCGTTTTTCTGGAAGAGAGTGAAAGAAGTTGCAAGAAAATTCAAGGTTACTATGCCTACTCAATTACCCAAAACAACAGGCGACTTTACTGATGGCATGTCCTCCTTTTCTTTTACAATCGTCCCCTCTGCTTGGAAGGCCCTTCTCTGAGGTCACTGTTACTGCCTGTTCCTCTACTTCCTTCGGTGTCCCCTGTCCAAGTATCACCTGTCAGCGAGGTTGTCTTTCCTGATCACGTAATATGCTGCACATTTTAAAGACTGCCCTTAACACTATTTCAATCCCTTTCTATCAAGTCATTGTGAGGAAACCAGAGGGTGATACATTTTTTTAAAACTACCATTCCAAGACTCCCCTGCGGTCAGCATTTCTGCCCGTGACCTAGTCCACGAAGAGACGAACCTTCACAAAAGGCCACAGTGAATATTGTCAGGTGGCAGCCACAGGGTTCTGGAAGCACTTGGTGGAGGCTGTCCTGTCTGGCTGAACCCTGAAGCAGGGTCCTTCCAGGCCAGGTTCAAAGAACCATTTTTCCAGCCATTTCAAGGACTCAACAAACCAAAGGGTAACTTTCATGATCCTTTCTCTTTATCTCAGATAAGCTAGATTCCTTTGTGTGTAACAACATGAGTGGGATACACAGGATAACGCTCCCCCCACCAGGATGTCACGTCCTAATTCCCACAATCTGTGACTTTGTTACCTTACATGGCAACAGGGACTCTGAAGATGTGATTAAGGGTATGGACCTCGAGATGGGGAGATTAGCCTGGACTGTCTGGGTGGGCCCACTGTCACCAAGGGTCCTTCTGAGAGACAGAGGGGGTCAGAGCGAGAAGTGACAGCACAGGCCGTTAAGGGAGAGCTCAATATGCTCACGCTGCTCATTCTGAAGATGGACGAAGGGGCACGAGCCAAGGTATGAGGGTGGCCGCTAGAAGCTGGAAAAGGCATAACGTCGATTCTTCCCTTGAGCCCCCAAAAAGAATGCAGCCTTGATCTTAGGAACTCTGCCCCCCACAACTGCAAGATAATCACTGACATTGTTTTAAGTCATGAAAGTTGTGGTGATCAGCTGCAGCAGCAATAGAAAACGATCTACATGCTTCCGGCACCAGAAGAGGTTACACAGCCAACAGGCCTCAGACAAGGGCCTCTGGGACTAGTTCTTTGACTCAGCAGTGAAGATTCCGTTGGCACTGCAGGACAGAACCCTGGGAGCCCAACCCTCTCAGTGGAACACAGCTGCACGAATGACCACCAGCCATCGAAGACAGAGCGGCGACTTCTACTACACTGGAGAGCTTATAGAACAAAATGACAGGCTCCAGATATTAAAATCTCACCTCAAGGAAAAGTCAATGAACCAGGATTTTCTAAGGTGACCATAAAGTAGAATCTGGTCCAACAAAATACTAAATTATAGTATAAACTGAATGAATAACCTTACTGGGTCTCGTATCTGAAAAGGCAGAACAAAGAATGGTACTCCAAGAATTCAAAAGGGGGAGTCTGGGAGAATATGATGACCCCAAGTACCCAAGCCCCTTAATCCTCTGAGCCCCACTTGCTAGCAGAAGCAGCTCCTGCAATGCTCGTACCCGAGGCAGTCATGTTGCAGGCAAATGCCAATTCCCTTAGGTTCTAACCCATCATAGGTTGTTCCTTCCAAAATCAGAACCAGAGATCAAGTACTGTCCTTATGGGCCAATTACAAAGTCATATGCAGGAGTTCATATTGGAAGAAAAAGAAGGGTAAGATTTGCTAGTATATTACATGAGTTTCCCATGACTACTGTAACAAATTTCCACAGACTCAGCGGCCTGAAACACCAATTACAGTCACAGAGCTCTGGAGGTCAGTAGTCTGAACTGGTCAGCGTTCCTTCTTGCGGTTCTAGGGAAGAATGCTTCCTTGCCCTTTGCAGCTTCGAGGTCATCTATATTCCTTGGCTCATCCCACCTGCATCCCTCTTATAGAAACCCTTGTGATATTGGGACCAGCTAGAGACTCTAGGAAAATCTCCCATCTCAAGATCCTAAACTTAATCACATCTGCAAAGTCTCTTTTACCATGTAAGGTAACACATTCACAGGTTCTGCTAGGATGTGAACATCTCTGAGGCACCGTTATTCTACCTACTACACATGAAGTGACAGAAATGTGGGAGTATGTGTGAGAATGCATTCTATGATGCTTCATCAGCAAGACAGGAGTGTAGGGCTAAATTCATTGACATGATTATACCTACCAAAGATTCTGGATGCAGCATTATCCTGAGTAGCTGGGAGGGGTTCTAAATGTGCCCAGTACCTGAAACTTTGAACTGACAGTGACCTATGCTGAATGAAATTGAGTTGTCAGGAATTCCTTGATATAATTCAGAGGAAGAAATTCAAAAATTTAAGAAGCAGGGAATATACAGATTTACCTATTATGGCTAGCTCAGATAACTGACCTCCCCAAATACACACAGGTGAGGGGGCACCAACATCTCTGGAAAGCACATCGTCACTTCACTGTGAGCTGTGAGTGAAGGGGGCAGACGATGCCACTGCAATGTATTCTCCAAAGTCAGTGGGAGCAATGGCATATCAGGATGGCATCCATTCCAGGATGAACAGACAAATCCACAATCATAGTTTGAAACTTTTAAAAGCCTCTCTCAATAACTGATTATTATAAGCTGACAAAATCAGCAGATATAAGGAAAATTGAAACAAAAGAGGAACAAATTTGACTGAATTGACATCAGAAACACTGCAATAACCAACACAAAAGGCATATCCCTTTGACCTAAATGAAACATTTACAAATGGAAATGTGAGGCTATAAAGCAAATTTCAATAAGGTTCAAAGGACACAAATCAGAATATATCAGCTGATCACAATGGAATTTAGCTAGAAACCAATAACAAAAAATAAACGGACAAATCCCCCAAGAATCTGGAATTTAAGTAACTTTTTATATAACCCATAGATCAAACAAAAAATAATAAAAATTAGAAAAAAAAAATTGAACTGAATAAGAAAATCCGACATACCAAAAGGTGCTCAACATCACTAACCAGGAGGCAAATGCAAATCAAAACCACAGTGCGGTACCACCTCACACGTATTAGATGGCTATTATCAAAAAGACAAGAAATAAGTATTGGTGAGGATGTGGAGAAAAGAGAACCCCTGTACACTGCTGGTGGGAATGTAAATCGGTGTAACCACTACAGAAAACAGTATGAAATTAAAATTAGAACTGCCTTATGATCTAGAAAGTCCACTTCTGGGTATTTATCTGAAGAAAACAAAAACTCTAATTTGAAAAGATATATACATCTCTATGTTCACTGCAGCATTGTTTAGAATAGCCAAGACATAGAAACAACCTAAGTGTCCATTGACAAATGAACTGATAAAGAAATGTGGTGTATATATATGTGGAATACTATTCGGCCAAAAAAAAGAGAGTGAAATCCTGCCATTTGTAATAATATGAACGGACCTGGAGGACATTATGCATAGTGAAGTAAGTCAAAGACAAACACCATACGATCTCATTTATATGAGGAATCTTAAAAAACAAAAACTGAGCTCACAGATACAGAGAACAGATTGTGGTTGCCAGAGGTAGAGAGTGGGGTTGTGGGTGGGGTCGGGGGGGCTATATGAGTAAAATGGGTGAAAAGATACAAATTTCCAATTATGAAATAAATCAACCATTGGGATACAATGTACAACATGGTTACTATAGTTAATAATAATAATAACACTGTAGTGCACATTTGAAAGTTGCTAAGAGAGTAGATCTAAAAAGTTCTCATCACAAGAAAAAAAAGTTGTATCTATGAATGGTGATGATGTTAACTAGACTTATTGTGGTGATCATTTTGCAATATATAATCATAATGTTGAATACTTGAAACTAATTTAATGCTATGTGTCAATTATACATCAATTATATTTCAATTTTTAAAAAATCAACATACCAAGAATGATGGATGTAGCTAAAGCCATGCTGAGAGGGAAACCAAACAGCCTTAAGTGAATATACAAGGACTGCAAATTAATGATTTAAGTTTCAATCTTTTTTTTAATCCTCACCCGAGGACATTCTTGCATTTATCTTCAGATAGAGCGGGAGGGAGAGAGGGAGGAAGAGAGAGAGAGACACATCAAGTGGTTGCCACCCGCACGACCATAACCAGGGCCAGGGACAAAGTGCAACTGAGGTATGTGCCCTTAGCGGGAACCGAACCCAGGACTCTCTAGTCTGTGGGCCGACACTCTAATCGCTGAGCCAAATCGGCCAGGGCTTAAGTCTCAATCTTAATAGGAAATAGAAATATCAACAATAATCAAATTAAACTAAAAGAAAGTGGGAGGAAATTACAAAGATCCTACAGACATTAAAATGATAAAAAGAAGGTATTATGAACAACTTTATGCCTAAAAATTTACAAATCATGAGAAAGCTGACACAATATAAAATGGAAATCTAAATAGTCCTATATCTAGTAAGTGAATAAAGTACATGATTAAAAACCTTCCCAGAGGAAACTCTAAACCCAGACAGCTTCATCAATGACTGTTTCCAAACATTTAAGGAAACAAGTAACGTAATTCTTATTCAATAAACTCTTGCAAAGAATATGAAAAGAGGAAACACACCCTTCTCATCCTATGTGACAAGCATAATATTGATACCAAAATATGAGGACTAAAAAAAAAAAATGAGGACTTAAGAAATGAAAATTAGAGGTCAATCTTTCTTTTGAACACAGACTCAAAAATCCTAAATAGAATATTAACAGATTGAATATCCAATGAGATATAAAAGCAACAATATAAAAACTGAGTGTATTCTACGAATGAAAGGTTGGTTTGGTATCAGAAAACCAACTGATAAACTAGAAATAAAAGGGAATTTCCTTAAGCTGATAACAGAATATACAAAAAAGCTTTCCCCTATTAATTGGAATAAAAGAGAAATTTCAAGGTTATTTCTACACAAGACTGTAGTAGATATTGTAGCTAGGAAACTAAGGCATGAAAAAAAGTGTAAGAAAGAAAGAAAACTGTCATCATATACAGACTATATGATTATGTGTAGAAAGAAAATCTTAAGGAATTTAAAGAGTAACTACTAGAAATAAGTGATTTTAGCAAGGTAGATATAGAATTATAGATATAGATTGGATACTCTCTGTCATAGCCAGACTACCGTGTCCTGGATCAAACGATGGAAATGGCCATTCCATTATACTTCAAGATGACCTGTTCAAAAAAAGGTTTGCTTTCAGGTCCTGTGACTTCTTTTTGTCTGGAGATGCTGGTATATGGGGAGAAATGCTTAGAGGAAGTAAAACAACGGTGCTACTGAATTGAATACTGAGGCTGCTTTTTGACCATCTTGGACTCCTTATGCCACAGGCAACATGCAAAAGTGAATTACGTGTTGGCAGAGGTAAATTATGTTGTTTATCAAGAGAAACCAGTGTTCCTGTTTCACAGCCCAAAGGAGGGTCTTGTCTAAAATCCAAGAGACCCTTCAAAGTGTCTCCTGGTAATCCCATACACAGTGGAAAAAGTTAATGGAAACCTGTAGTAACCTCATACTGAGGATTGAGAACTCCAAGGAACTGAAGTTTGGATCACGTCACCATGTAAAGAACTCGGGCCAACGAGAACATGGATGTGGAGGCACACGGTACACTGAAACTTATGTACCCCCACAAAATCAGGTGGGCAGAGTGGAACTGCTTGCTTGTGAGAACACGTGGCGACTCAGGCCATCTCCGGACACAGCATCACGCACGTACCTATTGAGCTCCCGGATGGCCCGGAGCCTGCGGATATAGCGACGGCAACTCGGCAGAATGGAGAGGTGGTGGGCGTGCAGGGTAAGGAAGAAGCATTCCGTAGGGAATTTCGGCTCAGAAAATGGAGGCTGATCTCCATCTAGGAAAAATAACATAACCCCCTAATAAAATTGGTTACAGGGCTAAATTAGAGAAAAAGCACAACTAATAAAGCAAAATTACACTTGAATTTTCAAGAAGTTTAGAATTCTTTTTATTTTTTATCCTCACCCAAGGACATTTTTCCATTTTTTGTTCAGATAGAGTGAGAGGGAGAGAGAGAGAGAGAGAGAGAGAGAAACATCGATGTGAAAGGGACACATCGCGTGGCTGCCACCAGCATGACCAACCAGGGCCGGGGACAAACTGCAACCGAGGTACGTGCCCTTAGCGAGAACCGAACCCAGGTCTCTCTGGACCGCGGGCCAATGCTCTAACCGCTGAGCGAAACCAGCCAGGGCACTTCTTCTTTTTTTAATCTTCACCCGAAGATACTTTTCCATTTATCTTCAGATAGAGTAGTGGGGGGGGGGGGGGACATCGACTTAAAAATCGACTTAAGAAAGACACATTGATTGGCTGCCTCCCGCACAACCCTGACTAGGGCCAGACCCAACTGCAACTGAGGTGTGTGCCCTTGCCAGAATTGAACCCAAGACTCTTTAGTCTGAGGGTGATGCTCTAATCACTAAGCCAAACTAGCCAGGGCTGCCTTCTATTTCTTCACAAGCTTACATTCTGCTTTATCATGTTGTTTTTGGACAATTTATAGTTATATGATAACTTGAATTTCTTTCAATTTGTATCTAATTCTTCCTTTGAGTACACACATATTTCTCTACAAGCGTATTTTATTTCCTATGACACATACTGCTTACAGAAAAATCCGTTCTCTTGGTTTAAACTGTCGTAGGAACTAGGTATCTGATGAACAGTCAAGGCAGTGTTTGATTAATGCCGTTAATGTATATAGTGTTGGAATAGTTTACGCCTTACATATTTATAACAGTTCTATATTTTGAATGGTATGATTTTTTTTTTTATCCTCACCTGAGGACACTTTTGCATTTATCTTCAGATAGAGCGGGAGGGAGAGAGAGACACACATTGAGTGGTTGCCACCCACACGATTCCAGCGGGGGCCGGGGACAAAGTGCAACTGAGGTACGTGCCCTTCGCGAGAACTGAACCTGGGACTCTCTGGCTGATGCTCCAACCACTGTGCCAAACTGGCCAGGGCTTGAATGGTATGATTTTATCAGTTATACGACATGTATTTTCTTCCATTCTTTTATTTTACATATTCATTTTGTCTCCCTCTACACAGGCATGTTTATATATTAAGATGTATATATGTGTGTATATATATCGTATATATCACACACATACACTGTCTGTGATAATGCATTTCATCTCAAAAATGACTAAGTTTCTCTCACAGCGGGGTCAAATCCTCTGTTTGGGGTTTTCATGTTTTCTGCATTTGATTTTTAGAAAAATGTTTAACCTTTGATTCTTCTGAGTTCATGTCCGTGAGATATTCCAACGCTACACATTAACGGCTCTAATCAAACGGCCTTGACTGTTCATCAGATACCAGTTCTGAGGAGTCCAACGCTTTTCTGGAATGTGGATGTCTGATCCCGGAGCTGCCACCGCCAGGTAGCACGTCTCTCTATCCGACCCCATAAATAACGCCCTAGCGTCTTGATGTCCGTTATTAAATAACATGTTTCACAAGACGGAGAAAAAAGCCCTGGCCAGTTTGGCTCAGCGGTTAGAGTGTCGGCCTGCGGACCAGAGAGTCCCGGGTTCTATTCCCGCTAAGGGCATGTACCACGGTTGCAGTTTGTTCCCGGCCCTGGATGGGGTCGTGTGGGTGGCATTCACTCGAATGTCTCTCTCACATCGATGTTTCTCTCTCCCTCTTCCCCTCTCTCCCTTCCACCCTTATCTGAAGATAAATACAAAAATGTCCTCGGGTGAGGATTAAAAAAAAAAAAAAAAAGATAGAGAAAAAGATCAATAGCCATCATATTTTCAAGATATTCATATTTTCATACCATCTGTTCATCAAGGTCTATGAAATATTTCATAAGCACTTTAATTGGCATATATAAAATCAATATAGTAACTATGTTGCTGCTATCAGTTTTATACATACATACATACATACATACATACATATATATATAAACTCAGAACAGTATATTTCCTCCCATTTGCTATACATATCTATTTGATTTTGGCTAATTCAAATAAGAACTTTTTTTTTATCTTCACCTGAGAACATTTTTCCATTTTTTGTTCAGATAGAGTGGGAGGGAGAGAGGGAGAAACATTGACGTGAAAGGGACACATCGAGTGGCTGTCACCCGCACAACGCAACCAGGGCGGGGGACAAACTGCAACTGAGGTACGTGCCCTCAGCAGGAACCGAACCTGGGGCTCTCTGGACTGTAGGCCAATGCTCTAACAGCTGAGCCAAACTGGCTAGGGCAGAACTTTTTTTTACTTACTGATTTTTATTACATGTTATATCTCTAACTCATAATTTCATTTTCTGGAAAGGTAATAATTTGTGAGGAATCACTAGCATCCAAATAAAATCCTTTTTCTAACTTCTTAACTGAGGCAGCTGTGAACCACCCACCCACAGAAGCTGTATGTGGCCACTTAAGTGGATGCCCAGAATTGAGATCCTTTGAGATTGTACCTGAACAAGAAAACAAAAGGGAAAAGCGGAAAGTCAATTTCAGCCCACTTAGGCTTCACTCTCGAACCAGGTATCATGAATATTGAGATTTTGCAACATAAAACATTTCTCTTGCATTTCTAGTTTTCTGTCTTGCTGATCGCCTGTCTCCCAGATACATTGTATCATTACAAGCTTCCATAACTTTCCTTTCCTGCTGTCTCCTCTAGCTTTACTCCTTTGCCTTCTCTCCCTCTGCCTGCACTGAGCCAGGACAACTATCGAGGTCCAGCAACGTAGGCTCTGCTCTTCCCCCTCCTTTCCACAGGCCTCCCTCTGGAAGGGGCTTTCTTTAGAGAAGTTCTTCCTTAGCTCTAGCCTTTCTTTGGGCAGCCCCCATGGCCTTCTCCTCCACAGCCCCACAACTCACCCTACCCCAAGAGTCCAGATCCTAATTCTGGAGTCTGCCTGGCTTATCTGAAATCTGGTCCCCTGGGTAAAACAAATTTCATAAAGAATTACATTGCTTCCTTCACTATTTACAAATATGAGAAACTGCAACCACACTGCACATCGGAAGGGTGAACCCAGATGAGGCCATGTGGTAGAGCACAAAGGCCCTGAAGTTGGCTCACAAGACCTGAGCAGCAGCACAATGTGCTGGGTAACAGGCTGGGCATGCTCAGCACCTTTTCGGACCTCAGTCTCCTCATGTTTAACCAGAATACAGTATAGTTGCTGTTAAGATACTTATTAACATTTTTTTCCTGATCAGCCTACAAACAGAAAATTTCCTATAGAATGTGAGGGAAGGTCAAACTGGAAGGCACACTAAAATCTCAGGTTGTGATGCTGTCTATGTTGTGGTTCAAGTTTCTCATGACTCAGAGACAGCTTTGTACTGGCCAATGAAATCGGGTCATAGCTTAGCTGGTGTGGCTCAGTGGTTGAGCATCGACCCATGCACCAAGAGGGCGCGGATTTGATTCCCAGTCTGGGCACATGCCCAGGCGGTGGGCCAAATCCCCAGTGGGGGGCATGAAGGAGGCAGCCAATCACTGTTGTTCTCGCTCATTGATGTTTCTCTTTCTCTTTCCCTCTTCCTCACTCTCTCTCTAAAAAAGCGATAAAGAAAAAAAAATCTGGTAATAAAAAAGCCATGATGGATAAGTCTCAGCAATGCTGACTGCCTGAGCAAGACAAGCAACCAAGTCCTCAGAGTGAATCTTGAGTCTGATGTCACTGCTGTGGGGGTGAGGAGTCAGTGAAACTGTTCCTGGAGGACAGGAGCAAGGGCCGGAGGACGTAAGGAGGTGATGGGCAGGAGTCGACAGACAGGGATGTTGGGTTGGTGTCAAATCTAAGCTATGGGATGACGCTCCGAGTCCAACTGTATCCTGCTGATAAACAGATGTGTATCTATTTTTTTTTTTTAATTAAAAACATGGAAGAGCAGCATTTTAAGGACCTAATAATGAACACATCACTCACAAAGTTCCGTCAGCCAGTCGTTCACATCCTCCATTGTCGCGTTCACTCTGGTCTCATCAGTGGGCAGAGTAATCCGACACTTCGGGTGGAATATATACGTGGGGTCAACTGTCTCTAACTTGATCTTTGTACTTAGCTGCTGCAGCACCCAGAGAAAATTCAGCATAAATCCATCTGTAGAAACCAATCTATCATCTGTCTGTGAAACAGGAAAGGAAATATTAGAATAATGCTTGAATAGGAAAGTCTGGCACAACTCTACAAGAAAGAAGACCAAACGAGCATCTTAAAGTCAGTGGGAGGACACATGTCACGTCACCACTGTCCCTCTATTAGCAGGTGCTACTTGCTGAGTGTCCATCATACGTGAATCATCTACATGTCCTCTCACCAAACCTCCACAACAGCCCATTGAAGTCAGTTACACTACTACTGACATTTTCCAGAGGAAGAAACTAAGGCTCAGAGAATTTAAGTGATTTTCCTAAGACCCTTAATATTAGCCAGAAAAATACACTAGATGTTGCTACCTTTCTCTCCTTTATTTCCCCTCAGGAGTGTCACTGGTCCAACCTGGCTAGAGTCTCTCTAGCCAACAGCGTTAGCATAGTCCTGCATTAGTTAACATAACAATATTAATGAGTTAACATCAGCCAAGTGTTCACCATGTAGCAGGCACTATTCTAACAGCTCTATGTATAGTAAATACATAAGATGTTTTTATTTTTTATTTTTTCTTTCTTTACTGATTTCAGAGAGAGAGATAGAAACATCGATGAGAGAGAACATCGAATGGCTGCCTCCTGCACGCCCCCCACTGGGGATGAGGCCCAAAACCCGGGTGTGTGCCCTGACCAAGAATTGAACCGGTGATCTCTTGGTGCATGGGTCGATGCTTAATCACTGAGCCACACCGACTGGGCAAGATTAGTATTTTTATTAACCTCATTTAGCACCAAGGAAAGGGAGAAACAGAGAAGTAACAGTCTAAGGTCCTACTGTTAGTAAACAATGGAACCACAGCTGAGAATCCAGGCAGTCTAACACAAGGTCCATGCTTTGCTCTACACTTTTTTCCTTCTTCTGGGCAGAAATGTCATATCATTCATTAATAATACAGGAAGGATACCCTTGTAACTTTTCTATTCTGGCAAAACAGTCCAACCCACTAGCCTCCCTCACCAGGGCTGGTTCATTCATGGCCTTGGAACCGGTCTCCTTGGTCCTGCTTCTGCTGCCCTCCCCCTACTTTAGTCCATTCTCCACACAGATTTGGTGGGTTCCTTGTTGGAAACCCTGCCAATTGTTTCTCACTAGAGTTTCTTACCACATCGACCAAATTGATGGAGCCTCTGCCCACCCTCTGGCCCACGACCCACCCTTCCCTTTCCTGTTCCCTGTCCTCCAGCTACAAGAGCCGGCACATGAGGCTTGTTCTAAAGCTAGTTCACTCCTGCCTTAGTGCCTTACACATATCTAGGAAGTCCTTTCCCAGCCTTGCAAGGGCTGGTTCTTTCTCATCAGTCGGGTCTCTGATCAAATGTCATCTCTTTAGAGGGGCCTTTCTGCCACTCAATCACACTCACCCCATAGCTTCCTTCTGGTACCTCCCCGGCCATGCTCATGTCCTGTACCTTGTTTTATTTGCTTCCTAGAAGCTATGACTGTCTGAAGGAATGTTTATATGCATTTACCCTGTAGAACACCAGCTGCACAGAAATAGGAAGCGTCGCTCTCTTGTTCAACACCGCATCTCCATTGTCTAGAACAATGTCTGGTTGGTACTGAATGATTAGGGATGAATTGAATGAATGGATAAAAGGAGGCTTTAGGGATCCTACCTGCATCTGTGCTTTTTTCATATTGGCATTGACAACAGCTGCCATGTAACCAAGGGCAGCCTCACGGGTTTCACCGTTTAACAAAATACTATGCAGAATCTTGAAAAGCTCTTGCTGAAATGTATTTTAAAACAAAGAAAAAAATTAAAACTTTACTTTAATTATTATTAAACTTTACTTTAATAATTTTACTAAAATTATTCCTTTTTGGCCTAAGAGCAGATAGCTTCCTTCCTGCTTTCTCTCCCCTCCCACTTCCGCTCTCTGGGAGAACCTGACTACAGGAAGAATAGAAAAGTCCACATTCAACTGCGTCAATATAATTAGCATGAAAGCAGAATATGGAGTGGAGAAGGTAAGTATAGTTTTAATAAAATAGCCTTTCTATTTCCTTTCCAGATAGGATCAAAATCAACTTAATTACACTATAATTAGCCTATAATTTTGCTACTTTTAAGTTTGAGAAATGAAGACATATCATCTACATTTGGGACAAGCAAACTAACAGTGTTCACTCACCCCCATATATCAAATGCCTACGAACAAGCTTAAAAGAGAGCCTGGCCATCTAACTCAGGACTGGTCCCCAGTGGTGCTCATGAGGACACACAGTGTTCCTGCTGCAGTTACTGGTCTACAGCCTCTCTTTTAGTCACCCCCTGGGGTCATCTTCTGAACACCTACCCTTCCCAGCTCCAAGTAATGCTGCAATGATTGGCTAACCACGCGCGTATTTTCCAGGGTAATAGCAGGCCCTGAGAAATACTTTTCAACCACTTTAGCCTGAAAAAGAGGGAACAAATTCAATTGACATATAATGTACATTTGGGAAGGAATCTGAACATTAGAGCAGCAAAGTGCAAATGGCCACTGTACTTACATCATCTTCTGCGAAGACTGAGAAGCTAAAGAAAGCCCCCAAATAAGAGAGTCGCTGCAGCTCCCGCCCGGAGCCAGGGCTTAGGGACTTAGGCAACCACAACGGCAAAGAAGCAACCTGTGTGAAAGCGGAAGAGACCAATCAAGCCGCTGCCCTGGCAAGTGAAGTGCAAACGCAATGAACAGAGCTCTCAACAGCCGACCTCTTCAGCGGGTCCTGAGCCACAGGACACTTAACATCCCAAACACAGGCTCCCCGTGTGCTGGCATTCCTGCTGGCATTTGCTCTCGAACAGAGGAAAGCCCTCCGACTCCACATTTTCATAAGATATACTTATAAATTTGATGTTTCAAGATACTCCTTGATGGAGTTAAACGAACTGTTCTTATACTACAAAAGGATTCAAGAAAATTCTTCCTGTAGGGCTTGTTATTCTAGATGCACAATACTGATCCAAAAAAAACCACAAAGGAAAGTAAATAGCTTCATCCCAGGAAATAATGTATCAACATCAATTTAACAGTCGAGAGCCACCCACCCATGCCACCTACGTGGATATCTAAGTGTCCTCCAACTGACATGGTCCAGATAATGTACTTAAGGAATAGCTGAGTTATATGCTCATTAAAAATGTACAAGCCCATCAGGAAGGCACTTACCAAATTGCACACGGGGTGTGTCTTCCCAAACTTGGTTTCACAGAGCTCACCCAAAGCCTAGAAATCAGATCAGAAGGAGTCATTTAAACATATTTCACCGCAGTGTGAACACCAAGGAAGACCTTTAACTGCTGCCATAAACACGTATGTATTCTCTCCAGTGCCTGACAGCTTCACGGTTACCTAATAAATAAGTCAAACTTGGCCCTGTAAAACACTTCAGATAAAACAGAAATACAAGATGAAACTAAAAGTCACTCAAACTTTATACCAAGGGATAACCTCTACTGATATTTCCGTTAACACTTTCCAGACATATTTTTGTGCATATACACAGAAATAAATGTGTATATATCATTATTATTTTTTTATCCTCACCCGAGGATATTTTTCCATTTTTTGTACAGATAGAGTGGGAGGGAGAGAGAGGAAGAGAGAGAAGAGAAACATCGATGTGAATGGACACATCGAGTGGCTGCCACCCGCACGACCAACCAGGGCCGGGGACAAACTGCAACCGAAGTACGTGCCCTTAGCGGGAAGCGAACCCGGGTCTCTCCGGACCGCAGGCCGACGCTCTAACCACTGAACCAAACCGGCCAGGGCTAAATGTGTATATTTTTATAAAAAATAATTTTTTTACCCTGGCTGGTTTGGCTCAATGGTTAGAGTGTTGGCCCACAGACTGAAGAGTCTCGGGGGGTTTGATTCCGGCCAAGGGCACATGCCTCGGTTGCAGTTCGATCCCTGGCCCTGGTTGGGGTCGTGCAGGAGGCAACCAGTCGATGTATCTCTCTCACATTGATGTTTCTCCTCTCCTGCGGCCCCCTCAACTCTATCTGAAGTTAAATGGAAAAATATATCCTTGAGTGAGGATTTTTTAAAAAGGAAAAAAATAATAATTTTTTTTTTTTACTTAACAATTTTTCCATGTCAAAAAGATGCTTCATAAACTTTAGATGGGTAGTCTTGCCATTGCTGAACAGGACTTCAAATAATTATAATTTAATAAGCTATCAAATTCAGAGCATATTTAAAAGTATTCCTTGGTTGCACCGTCTCTGGTATTTTTGAGAACTCCAACATTTTCCTTTGGAGTGTCAATCACTCTCATATTAGAATCACGAAAAGTAGTTTTGGGGAACAAACACAACCCACCACGGCCACGGTAATCCAATCAAATACCATTCAAACTGTGGGTGTAACTTCTTTGGGAAGCTCAGGCTCAGAGTGGCCCTGAAAAGGGAGCGTTCTCGCTGCCCAGGGCAGGGTCCCCAAACTGTGCTGCACTTTACCATCTCCTGGGAAGTTTCAGAAGTCCCAGTGCCAGCCCACACCCTCGCTGCACACGTGATGAATTCTATTAATGTCTGGGAGCCAGACATCCAGATTTTTAAAAAAATCCCCAGGTGATTCCAAGGTATGGCAAAGCTGGGATCCACTGACCTGGAGAATAATCACAACTGTTTCTGATTCTGACCCCTAGAGACTTCCTCTGCTTGCCTCTCACTATTGTCCTTTCACAGAATGCACTCTCACTGCTGCACAAGCGTCGATAATGGTACGAAATAAAACTATTGTCTATCATAAAGAAGGCCTCTGTCTTTTGACCACAGAACATTTTGTTGATATCTGACACTAAAATCTCCCTACTGAAACATCAAGCTAATTCAAACCACGACAGAAAAGTCTAGTTTCACGAAGAAATATTTACAGATCACAGCAATAATTAATGTACACTGAAACATTTCATCACTGAATCAAACAATCAGATTATTCCACTTCCCTCTATCTGCCAGACAGAACAGTGCGTAAGGATGAGTGAATTTTATTAGGAACCCGAAGAACATGGGCAATAAAAAGAGCCCTGTATAAATCCATTCAAAATCATTCTTAGAAGGAATTCCCATTTCCCAGCAGTGTCTTTAACGTTTAGCCTTTCAGTTCCATTTTGATTTTTTAGGAGATAAGAGCACCTTATTTCCCTTCCTAGTTCTAAAATGAAAACTATTCGGTAACAGTTCCAAGTATTTTTCTCCCAAAATTTCAAAGAAGCAAATTCAGAGAAGAGACGGGCCTGTTATTTTGTTCGTGGTCCAGAGTTTTGAGAACAGTCAAGGTCCGGGATGAGCACGAGCCGGGCCCCACGTGTGCTTGCTGTGAGTGGGAGCTAGGGAGGCCGTGCCTTCCTGCCCCGGTAGAGCTGCAGACAAGGGTACCGCCGCAGGAAACGGGGAACAGGAAGACTGCTCAGTTATTCTGGACAAAGGCACTACATAGTTATAAAGCTGTATACTTTTCTTAGCATGGCCCTGCCTTTTTATTTGTATTTGTACTTTTTATAAAAAAAATTCTGACTCAAGGACATTTTTCCATTTATCTTCAGATAACGTGTGTGTGTGTGTGGGGGGGGGGGGAGAATATCGATGCGAGAGATACACATTCATTGGCTGCCTCCCGCACAACCCAGATCAGGGTTGGGGACCAAACCGCAACCGAGGCATCTGTCCTTGACTGGAATCGAACCCGCAACTCTTTGGTCTGTAGGCCAATGCTCCAACCGCTGAGCCAAACTGGTCAGGGCACATTTGTAATTTTTTTAACAACAAAATTTCATCCCAAATAGTATGGTATGCTCTCTGCTGGAGAATCAGAAGGATGTCACCAGTATTAATTTTTTTCATAAGCTAGCCAAGCAGTGAAGGACATTTTAATGACTGCATCATTGCCTGTGTAGGCCTCAGATGGGCGGGGTGGATACCGGCCTGCTAACTGCCCTAGCTGATGCACTGACTGCACACCACACACCACATGACCAACACAGTAATTTCACGTTTTAAATTTGAAAACAAGGTTGATCATGGACCTGAAAGAAAAATGTGCATTAGCATAATCTGAAAGAAAGCATCTACTGAATAGGTTAAAAAAAAAAGCACAAAGGCTTACCATGAGGGGATATTTGAAGTAGTCACTATCAAGGGAGCACTCTTTGGCAGCAAGAGCCAGGCCTTGTAAAATGGGGATAAAGATCTGCAAGAAAACAAACAAAACAAAACCAGAAATATGAGTTTAAGAACAGTTAAGAACGGGAGGCATATCACAAAGTGCTGAATGTGAACGCACGGCCACCCCGCTCCTTCCCACGGAGACGCTGAGGGCAGATAAAGGAGTCTGGACGCCAACCAGGGTGCTGCTGTCCTTCACGGCTAACCATAAAGTAATGCGGCCGGATTCTCCAGAAGCAACAGGATCTGGCGAACCCTAATGTTCTGGCAGGACTCCCAGAGATTCCATAGACACTCATAAATTCATAGCCTGCTGTAGGACTCTCCGGGGGTCCTTGCTTTAATCAGCTTGGTTCTGCACATCTCAGCAACACGTTTCTGCGCACCGAGCACCTAGAATCTGCAGAGAAACTGGACCCAACGTTCCAACTCCTCAACTCTATCAATATTGTTAAAAAAATTCTTTGTCGCCACCCTCCCATCTCCACCTAATTCCTTCCATCTTTCCCTGTTTATTTTGAAGAGCACAAGAAAAACAGACCAGTAATGAATATTATTATTACATTAACTTTAAGTATGTGGAACAAAGAGATAGTTGGTAAATGTTCAAACTGAAAAAGAAAACTATCAGAATGTCTTTCCTCCATATATGATGTAATTAACAATAACCTGGTATCAGAGCTTTGGGGCACTCAAATGTACTTTTCCAAGTTTACATGAATACAGGCACATGAACACTATACAAGATGAGCTCAGCACAATTCATCCTTGAATTTCACAATGCACTCACTAATCAACACATCTAGGGATTTGGTTGGGATTCAAGACTAATAATTCCATCAGCTAGAAAACGTTGTAAACAGCAGCTGACAATCTGAATGCCAACAAGCTGAAGAAGGGAGAAGCCACTAGAAAATCTGAAAAATTCCCTTTCCTACTAATTTTCATCCCATTGTACTGAACATCTTCATCATTTAAGAAGCATGGTATTACAAAGAGGTGCCCTGGATTACCAAGTGCCTTGGAGTGTCCTGAGGTGGTATCAACACAGCTACGGCAAATATCATTTTTGTTTTTGCAACTAAGCAATCAGGGTAGAAGTAATGTGCCTGCGTCAATGAGCTGCGAATTGAGAGGCAGTGCTCAGGTGGGGAATGCCAACATTGCAATCAAGGGAAAAACCAACAGAAGTTCAGAATTACCAAAAATACATTTCTTTGTTTTTTTTATCCTCATCCGAGGACATTTTTTCATTTTTTGTTCAGACAGAGCGGGAGGGAAAGACAGGAAGAGAGAGAGAAGAGAGGGAAACATCAACGTGAAAGGGACACATCGAGTGGCTGCCACCTGCACGACCCAACCAGGGCTGGGGATAAACTGCAACCAAGATACATGCCCTTAGCGGGAACTGAACCCGGGTCTCTCTGGACCACAGGCTGACGCTCTAACCACTGAGCAAAACCGGCCAGGGCCAAAAATACATTTCTTAACTGGTCATCTAGAAAAATTTCTAAGCACTGTTTTCAGAAGTGCTATAAAGTAAAACATCTTTACTCTTTCTAGTAGAGTGATCCTCTTATATAGAGTTTAATTTATAATAGACAAAATACTGCTAAGCATGTTTTTCCCATAGTCAGATGATATACTATTTGTGACTTACACATTTTAATAATTCTTATATTCAAATAAATAGCTCCCAGCAGTGATAAAAAAATGCTATAAGTATTCATCTCCAATCTCAAATTTTAGCGACTATTTCTGTTTATCTTTATTTTTCTGTGAATATCTCAAATATTTAAAAGGACACTGAAATTTCAGTCAAAAGATTTAATAATTCAAATAAGACGAAAAGATGAAGTGGTGTTTTTCAGTTCAGCAACTCCATGCTACCCATCCTTTCTAGAAAAGACACCTGGGGATACCTAAGACGAAAAAAGCTGTGTTCAAGACTTAAGTGGCAGAAAAGGCATCATATTCTGTGATGAAAAATAAGCAGGTCTGCGGTGGTTGCACAATTGTAAATATACTAAATGCCACTGAACTGTACACTTCAAAATGGTTACATTTGTTATATAAATTTCACATCAATTTTATAAAAACAAAATCATTTCATAACCTCTGTGCAAATTTCTTTATTAAAAAAATAGGCATAACACACTCCTTTCAGCTCATCTTTGGGCTGATTTTATATAACTGAAGCTACTATGGGCTCCTCAAATGATGTCTTTTTGAATAGGAAAAGGATTCTAATTAATGCAAATTACACATGTAATATAGTGTATCATTTAAACCTTTCAAGATGGTTATTTTCATCAGAGTTCACTTATCTTTCTAGAGATAACGTTTGTACCTTAAATGTTCCCCTAAATCAACAAGACCATCATCTAAGGCAGTGGTTCTCAACCTGTTGGGTCACTACCCCTTTGGGGGTCAAATGACCCTTTCACTGGGGTCGCCTAAGACCATCGGAAAACACATGATTTCCGATGGCGATTCATAACAGTAGCAAAATTACAGTTATGAAGTAGCAACAAAAATAATTTTATGGTTGGGGGTCACCACAACATGAGGAACTGTATTAAAGGGTCGCAGCCTTAGGAAGGTTGAGAACCACTGCTCTAAAGACAAGCAGCGAATGAATCCAGACACAGAGTACACAACAATGACCAGGAGTTCTACTCCTGGATTCTTCTCTTACTAAAATTTTAAAGACACAACCCCTGAGAATTCAAGGGCCTTAAAATTAATAGTTATAAATAATATTAAGTATTAAAAACGTATTGAGCCCAGCCAGTGTGGCTCAGTGGTTGAGCATCGACCCATGCACCAAGAGGTCGCCAGTTCGATTCCCAGTCAGGGCCCATGCCCAGGTTGTGGGCCCGATCCCCAGTGGGGGGCATGCAGGAGGCGGCCAAGCGATGTTCTCTCTCACTGATGTTTCTATCTCTCTCCTCTCCCTTCCTCTTTCTCTAAAATCAATAAAAAATAAAGAAAGAAATTTTAAAAAAATATTGAAAGGAATCATACCAAGTATAGCTTTGCCTCTGTTATTCTTCCTAGTCAAGAAATGATCATATAACAAATTGAGAGAAAATGTCATAAAAATCCTTTCATGGAGGGAAGCAGCTTGTCTGAGAGTTGCTGTGGTAAAGCACCTACTTCACAAGGCAGGCCTTAAAGCAGCAACCCAGAGGTAAGGCTAACAACCCCTGCAAGGCTAAGCTTATTAGTTATTATTATTAAGTTTTTTTTAAATTAAATATTGCATATCTACATTTTGACTTGACTTTACACACGAAATATCAAAACTGAATGGTTGATGAATGAAGTAATCAGTAAGATCGGAGACATCATCCCAGTGTACTGATAAGAAGATAAAGATTCTATGTGGTGTACAGACTGCCAATGAGCTAATTTGGACATTAATTTATTAATTTCCTTTTTGTAAATGCAGAGAACTAATTTTCAAAACTACTCATCTGGCAAATGTACAGCGTGCCTTATGCTATCTCTTGGTATTCCTGTGTTAAAAGCTTCTTAAAATCAGGAACAGGGCCTTATATTTCTTATCTCCCAAAGCACTTAGCACAAATCCTGTTCAAAATACTCCATGCTTCACTGATTCGTTGAAATGGCATGATTTGAACAATGCAGCTATAGATCTAATTTCCCTAAGAAAGGAACCTCAGATAGGTCTTCTTTCTGAGCAAATAACACATGCATAATAAAATTCAGGAACAGACATTTCAATACATGGTGCCTCGTCACAGAAACTCCTAAGCTAAAAGTTTTGGTAGGAAATTCACAAAATCTTACCTGCTTGAAAACTTCTTCATCCTGGTGAGTGGTTCTCACCAGTTCTTGAATAAAGCCATACGGGAGATTTCTACACAGCATATACGGCACCAGGAAGGATGGCTGCTGCATGGACCTGTGGATCGACGAAAGTCAAGAACTGCAATGAATCGACTCATCACCACATAACAACAGAACACATGGAATGTCATGTCAGCAGCAAATGCCAGTCAAAAGTCAAACTTGAATCTCCTAAATATTCTACACAATAGTTTTAGGCAAAAGATCAGCATTCTTATCATAAACAACGCCCTTCTGTCTAAAACATGAGGCTATAGGATATTTCAAAGGACCAATCTTTTCTAACATATAACCCTTTAAAAATAAAACATTAAAAAAGATGCTTCTTGCCCTGGCTGGTTTGGCTCAGCAGTTGGAGCTTCGGCCTGTGGATCAGAGAGTACCAGGTTTGGTTCCCACTAGGGACACATTTCAAAAAAAAAAGATGCTTCTTTTACTTATTGATTTATGCTTTATCCAATTATAAACTAATTAACAGTGGGTGAGGACTTTTTAAAACACTTAGTATTTTTAACCATGGGACATTTTTAAAGTTTTAGTAGTACATGTATATCATTTTCTTTCTTTTTGACAAGTTTCAAAAACATATGGCCATGTACAGAAAACAATATAAGAACACACAGAATGAATGAATAAATGTAACTTTGTCATTTTTCCTTCAGATATTTTTCATAAAAAGAAATAAAATAAATACTCTTTTATTAAACTTGAAACCTTTATGAGACTCTCAGAAACAAGCAATAATGTAGTACTTTGGGTGATTCCCAAATAATGTACCACTCACTATTTTTTTTAAAAATTATTTTCCTTTATTGATTTTTTTAGAGAGAGAGGAAGGGAAAGGGAGAGGGGGAGAGAGAAACATCGATGAGCGAGAAGGCCCATTAACTGGCTACCTCCTGCATGCCCCTCACTAGGGATCAGGCCCACAACCTGGGCATGTGCCCTGACTGGGAATTAAACTGGCGACCTCTTGATGCATGGGTCGACCTCAACCACTGAGCCACACCAGTCGGGCTCCACCACTATTCTTCATATTTTAGAGAGAGAAAAGGAGAGAGAGATAGAAACATCAATCAGCTGTCTCCTGCATGCCCCTCACTGGGCATCGAGCCCAAAATCTGAGAATGTGCCCTGACCGGGAATCGAACTGGGACCTCTTCGTCTGTGGGACATTGCTCAATCCACTGAGCCATACTGGCTGGGCATTCCACCACTATTCTTTATCAGTGAATAACAGAAACTGATTGTGTGATACATGATGATCATCACATTTCATCAAAAATTGCCACTGATTTAAAGCAGCTGCTTTTATTTATTTTTATTATCATTATTATTTTAGTTTTCCCTTTACATTTTTAATGAAATTATAGATTTCCAAGGTTTACTTTTTCCTTTTTGGTCATTATTATTATTATTTTAAATTTATCTTTATTTGCTTTTAAACTAAATTACTAGTTTTCTACCTTGCTGTCAACATATTTCAATAATGGTCTATCTCAATAAAGCGCCCAGAGAGTGTTTTATTTTCGTAGTACTTTAGAGAAGGGAAAAGATCTCAGAGATCATCCAGTCAACCCCTTTCTTTCTACAGGTGAAGAAGTGAGGGATTTGAGGTGGTGCAAAATGGCTGGGTAGCCACTGTGTTCCTGAAGGACAGGATCCTCCCTGCTAACATCAACCCAGAACGGTTTTTCCTACCTTGGCTGTGTGAGGGAACCTTGGAGTACTAATGCAGTATGGGATATGCACTGTGAGCGGATGTTGCTCAGAAGCTGGCTGACTGCTGGCTGGCTGCACATCTGAGAAGAAAAGCAGAGGTTAGGGCTAACAAAAAAGACAAACAAAATAATCCCATACTGTTGAAAACTGACAAGAGTCAGAAGAGAGTGAACTGCAGAAAATGGCACGCGTTGCTCTTCCTTTGCTCATACAAATACACAGAGTAACTCAATTATCCAAGTTCACTGCCTCTGCTGGGGCCTAAAGTAAAGAGAGTAAAGAACTGGAAGTCTGAGGGGACACTCAGGAATCTCAGACATGTGCCCCTCGCTCTGCTTTTGCTAAGGTTAAGAGCAACAAACCCCAAAGAGGCCCGTCACAAATATGAAACTAACAGGTGGACAGCCAGATTACTTTCTAAAGGAAAACTAGAACTAGAAAGTGAAGTAGGAATAAAATAAAACAATAATGAAGTCAGCACAAAACAGTAGAGAAGGTGTAGCCTCCTAAGTTTGAACATAGTTTTGGAACTTATTATTTATGTGATTCTGGACAGTGACTTAATCTCTCCGAGGTTCATTTGTTTCTTCATACAAAGTTAAAATAGTGTCTATCTTACATTAAGCCATATGAACTGAATCTGAACTAACGTAGACCCAGCACAGTGTTTGGCAGTCTACAGGTGCTACATAAGTGTTCTTCATTATTACAATGACTATGACAGACTATCAGGAATTATTAGGGCCATGTCAACTGCTGGTAGAAATGGTGCCGGGCTCTGTCACTTCTTCCTTCCACTAGGACAGGAGTTCCATGAGGGCAGGGATCTTCGTCTGTTTTGTTCACATCCTAAGCTACTGGTACAGTGCCTGGCACACAGTACATACTCAATAACCACTTTATTGATTGAATAAATAAATGCGGAGTAGGGGGTGGAAACCATTATTTAGCAAACAAATAACCAGGTTCTTGTGGGTTCTTTTAAATGAATCTATTTCTTATTACCTTTGGTGCTTTTTTTTCCTCTATTCCAACTCGGTCAAAACACTCGATGAGGTAGTTCAGCATATCTGTCTCCTTGCAGGTCTCAATGGCGAAATGGTCACTGTAGGAATCCCAAGTACTTGCCCCACCAGAGGCTCCCAAACTTTGGAGAAGAGAAAAGAGAACCGATGATTCTTATCTCTTCTCCGAGCATTACTGTATTTTGCATTTCTGCAGCAGAAAGCCTGCTCGGACCCGGCACCACGACAAAGCGCAGACACCCATGCAGCCGAGGCTGGAGCTCACTACTTGTTTCACCTGCTCCAAGTCCAACCAGGGTCATTTTCAATAAGCATTTTTATTCTGACTAAGAAGAGAGCCTGACCAGAAACCCAACATCTTATCTTGTTGGGAATGGCAACTTACAAAACCAGGAGCCTAAGAACGGCGAGGCATGTGAAGGGATATCATATACTTAAACCAAGTGGCCAGTGTCGCTCAGGCAGACTTCGCCAAGACTATGCTATCACTGTCATCGAACTCTTAGGAGTGACGTTTTAAGGGACTGACAAAATACCCATCCTCCTCTTAACTTCTGGCATAGATCTTAAAAGCCTTCATTCATCTAGCATTTTGGCATCAGGACCAGAGCTTAGGAAAACTGTCAAGTTAGGAAACCTGAAAATATTTGTTATCAACACAAATCTTCCAAAACTTTCAGGGAAAAAGGCAAAGTAATAGAGTAAAAACCAAACCAAACCTTGCATGAGGAGTACCCCAACTTGGGTTCTCTTCCCAGCCCTGCAGCTTACTTGTTACCTGAAGCCAGACCTCATCACAATGTGCAGCGAGGGTTAAGTGAAATCACGTGACGTGCTTTGCAGAACACAAGCAGGACAGAGCGTGAGGCACTGTTATGATCAGTCTACCTGTTCTCTGAGGCCAAAGTCCAACATTATCACAAAGGTTAGGTTGAGGGAATTAAAGTTTAGCTCAACCATCAATAGGCCATATGCAAAATCTGATATTAACTAACCAATTGATTTGATATGCACAAAAGATACAAAAAGATTAATCATGGCACAGGAAGAGGCCAGGAATTTTGAAATGAAGATGAAATGAGAAAACATAAGCTTAGTAAAAAATTACACATGAAAGATGATAAATGATGGGACGAACATCAGGAACCTGAGAGACCCATTCCTACTTCAACGCGGGTCCTACAAAGCCTGGACTCTAAAAAGCTCAAGAGGAACTGAGATGTTAACAATATTTTATGCACACAGATGAGCAGGTATACAAAACTCATTTTGGAATATATTACTGACCTTAGAATTTCAGAAAAACATACTGACCTTGGAATGAAAAACATGCTATTAAAGTATTTCAATAAAAAAGGTGAAAACAATGCCAGTTTTAAATCTAAGGCTTCTAGTAAATTTGAATTCCTACAATATAGGTCTTCTCTATTGCAGAACTTACCACATAGGTCTCACTACACAGGTCTGGTAGAGAAGGGAGAGAGAAGTCAAGGCTGAGAGACAGGCTAAGGCACCAGGCAGCCGAGACCCACCTGACCAGGCAGGTAACTGAGCCACCAAACAGTACCCCCACAGAGACAGGACAAAGATGGGCAGGCCAGCATGGAAACCCTCAAAAAACCAAAACAATTAATTTTGGTGTCTTTTTATCCATTAATTTTGGGGCATACTTCACTCATTAACGACAGGACCTGCTGTCTGTTCACTGGCCTGACAACAGAGAGAGGAGTATTGTAATAAAGCACAGATCCTGATATCTGTGACTCCTCCCCCTCCTTCTGACATCAGTGCCTCAGCGACTACCTTCACTACACTCCTCAGAGATGAACTGTGCCAACACGGGCTCATACTTACACATAGCTATGGTCAGCTGTCCTTTGAGCAGCTCTTGCAAATGACAATGAAAACAGACCTCCCTTGTGTTTACAACTATTTAAAACTATACATTTCCTGGATCATAAGTGCTATAGTCTCAATTTCTAGATTTCTGAAGTGAAAAGTGCCTTGTATCTGATGTTGGTAGTTCCTTGCCAGCTGCAGGGAGTCAGTCTGATGCAGTGCCCACAGCCAGCATGGGGCGATCTGTGTGACGTCAGCACACTTGGAAGGTGGCTGCCCATGCTCTGGAACTGGGTTCCACTCTCAGCCAACATGCCCATTTCATTTTAACTTACATGTGAACACCTCAAAATCAACTGAAATATCTTCCCAAATGTTTCACTAAGACATGGAAAGTGACAACGCACATAGAAGATTGCTTGTCATATGCCAGGCAATGCAATTAAAGGCACTCAGGAAATAGCGCCTTCAAAGCTAAGAGATTGGTGTACGTTGGTGATCATCTGCCGGGCACCAAGCGACACTTCCAGTTGATTTCAACAGGAGAGAGAGAGAGAGAGAGAGAGAGAAACCAAATAGGAAATGTAGAGTTAACCCTAGTATTCATCAATGTATTTCAAAATTATAAGGTCAGTCCTAAGGGTGCTAAAATAGGTCATGAGCACAGTACGCAAACTGGCCCATCTGGCCAACAATGTACACGTGTCAATGGTCAAAAGTCACTCACAAGGATCTTAGATTCAAAGTGAAAGAGTTGAATTCAAATTCTGAATGTGTGATGCTGAAGGAGAGAATGGTGTTTAGTTTATATGCATAAATTCATGCTATTGATAAACCTTTTAAAAGTTTTTAAATAATATTTCATTTTTTCCTAAAAAAATGTTAAAATGCATGATGTATTCACAACTGCTAATATATGAAATATGACATTGGATATATGTCATATTTAAGTCCTAAGAGTATCAAAAAAGTATACCTCCCTCTGGGAGGTGATAGGAACCATTTTCTGATAACTACATTAGTCCAAGTTAATAACTTCACATAATAGAATCACATGATAGCTGAATCTTTCTGAAAACAAAATGAAAATATTCCTGGGGATTTTAAACACCCATTAGATCTGTGCAAACTGAACCCCATTTTAAAAGCTTATTTCTTACCCCTGGCTGGTTTGGCTCAGCAGTTAAGAGCATCGGCCCTTTGGCCCAAGGGTCGCATTTTCGATTCCCAAAGGGCACATATGTGGGTTGCAGGTTTGATCCCGGGCCCTGGTCGGGGTCATGGGAGAAGCAACTGGTCAATGTGTCTCTCTCACATATATGTTTCTCTCTCTCCCCCCTCTCCCTCCCTTCCACTCTATCTAAAAATCAATGGAAAAATATCCTCGGGTGAGAATTAACAACAACAAAAACTTGTTTCTTAAAAAGATTTCATTGCAGTTTCTTTTCTTCTATAAGGGGAACAATCATTCTCCTATTTTCTTATTATTTTGCATGCAGCTCATGGAATTTTATATCTTCTCAATGCAAGGTAAAGTCAGAGCTGTGCAGCTTTAAGTGATGTACACTGAGTGAACAAGGTGCATGGTGTGCTTGATGCTTCCAGGCACTGCTGAGGGTCCTGGGGCAGTAACACACTGTATCAAACAGATGCAGATCTCTTCCCAGGCACCTATGTTGTAGAGGAGAGATGCTCGAAACCACCTGAATACAGCAGAGCTCTGGGGAAAAATAAAAGCAGAGGATGGGGGCAGAGAGAGGCAGAAAGTGTGTGTGTGTGTGTGTGTGTGTGTGTGTGTGTTACACCATGTTTAATACAGGGACACCATCTGATAAAACGGCATTTGCATACAGACCTGAGGGAGTCAGGCAGCCGGCCAAGAGCAAAGGCCTAAGGCAGGAGGGGACTATGCTGAGTTTGAGAACAGAATGGAGTGTATGAGCTGGAGGATGTGGGCAAGTGGAGGGGAAGCAGGTGAGGTTAGAAAGCAGGAGTGTGAGTGTGTGTGCATTGGTGTGTGCACCCACGTGTGCTTGTGTGTGTGCGTGAGATGCATTCTCTTGCAGGCCAGGGTGAGAGGTTCTGGGTTTTGCTCCGTGTGAGGAGGGAAATCACTGGGAGGTTTTGGGGACTGGCATAGCATGAAAGATTTCTTTTAGACTATTTCCATGTTTCCTCTCCAAGTAGTGACCCAGCAGAAATCAGAGGGTAACCATCAATGTTTTCACTATCTGCTCATTTTCCTCTTACTGTTCACATCAGCTCATGACTTGCAAGATTCGACCTCCTTCACTGCAATATCTAAGCAGTAAAAAACCAAAACCTGAATTTCTTTCTAGTCATCAACTTCCTGTCCAGGAACATTTTCTTCGGAATGACTCCTGTCCCTTTATGCTGCACAGCTCTCACGTCGCTCACTCACTCCTGGGAGGCGCAGCCCCTCGCAACTCGCCAGCTCTTTCCTCAGGGGACGACGAACCAGAAGGAGTGATTCTTCCTTGCTTTTTGTTTTATCCTCACCCGAGGACATTTTTCCATTTTTGTTCAGATAGAGTGGGAGGGAAAGAGAGAGAGAAACATCGATGCAAAAGGGACACATTGAGTGGCTGCCACCCACACGACCCAAACAGGGCCGGGGACAAACTGCAACGAGGTACGTGCCCTTAGCGGGATCCGAACCAGGGTCTCTCCGGACCGTGGGCTGATGCTCTCACCGCTGAGCCAAACCGGCCAGGGCAAGTCTTCCTTTCTTAAATCAATCCTCATCATCACCACTACAAAGAATGAGCGTGTGTCCAGACTACTTCTGGAAAGACATCAATCCACAGGTACGCAGCAGGGAACAGATACAAGCCCCGCTGACTCCTTCCTCTGCATTAGTCTCACAAGCACGAAGTGGGTGTTCAAATCGCTTCCTTCAAAGTAGATACAATTCTGAGATGATTGATCAGAAAGGGGGAAGAAAAACTACCTGCTGAGCGCCCAGATGAACCAGGTTTGCTGCCTCTTCCTAGCCCCACACGCATTCTCGGGTTCCTCTCCAGTTGTCTGATCAGTTATGTGTTTTTACCCACCCTTTTATCTTCTTTTTGATATCTATTTGGACTCTATAAACTGCCAAAATCAGGATGGATCAGGTTTCATTTTAACAGCAGCAAAGGACGTGCCAGCTGCCTAGTATGGAATCTGCAATTAAGGAGTAAAATGTTCTTGCCCAGGAACAGAGTAGATGCTCTTGGCAGCAAGAGAACCAGTAAGGTCGAGAACACAAGTCCTATTGGGTGAAGCTGGAGGAGCCAGAGGCAGCACGTGGGCTCTGGACCGAGGCTCTGAACCGACCAGTCACGTGACTCACCTCCGGTGGCCCAGTTCTCACAGTAAGGAGAGCTGCTGGGTGGATCTAGGTGGTAATGTATGCAGTGCTGACAGCGTCTGGGTGCGATACTTAGTATTATCACAAAACTACTGAGTTTACTTCTCCTCGTGGGCACAGAATCTAGATCTGAGACAAGACTGGCATGTTGTAAGTCTAGAAAGACAGGAGTTAGTGACAGCAGCACACCATCTGATATCTTTGTTGGTGAAAGTCGGAATTAAATAGGCCAGTTAGAGAGAGCATTTCTCCCACAGATAATTTACAGTAGAACAGGTAACAAAGCACTTTTATCATGCACGGAAATTAATTCCTAACAAGGATGCCTGATGGATAACTATGATCATGCAGTGGGATTTTTCTACAAGAAAAAGGTACTTTTACCTCTGGGATACTTACTTGAGAAAGAGTGATATAATGTTCAATCTAATACAAATATCAGCCTTCCTGAATCAATATTCCACCTTGCACTGACATTCCCCTCTCTATATATACTCTCTAATGACTCTCCTGCACACTGTCCAATTTAATGAAGTGTACCTAACTCCTACCGCCATCTCTATTTATAGCCTGGAGTTATTTTTGAACAGTTCTGGGCACAAATACCAACTCAGTCCAGAGGAAACTTCAATTTAAGAGTAAAATGGTAAGACAATGAGTCAGAGTGTTAGAAAGACAGTGCTATTGTATCTTCTTTTTCAAAGTCACCTAGAAAACCTAAGGAGTCTTTTTCACTCAAATTTCAGGAGTGAACATGCAGCAACATCATGAGCTATGTTCTGGCCTCTGCTGCCATTCCAAAGGCCATCTAAACAAACAGAGTCTAGTTCCCTGTGATCAGTAGAATTCAAGGTCAGAAGTGAAACCAGAGTCACAATTATACCGGAAGTATGCCCAGGCGGAGCTGGGGCAGGGCACACGCACACACGCGCACACACACCAGCCCCCCTGCCATTCCTGAATAGCAGTAACATGCAACTGTACATGAGAAAACATGCCTCTCAGAGTACGCGTTGCTCACGTCTGATTGTTCACAAGAACCTTCTCGCAATAGATAGTGAAGGGTTCTGGCTTTTAGAGTGCAGGGTGGATGAACTGCATGTGACTGATCTTTAATCTGCTATTCATGTTTCTGACAAAGGATTATATGTAAGTTTTCTCCAAACTTACCAGGCAACAACCATGAAAATGTTCCTACGTGAGCTTTACCCCATGAGAGGGTCTTAACATTTCAGTACATGCAAATTGCTCCCATCTTCACTCTCCAGGTGGTCTCGCCTGACCCTACCCTGTTTGAATTCAAAGCACACCCCTAATCAGGGCTTAGAGAAGTTAGTTCCTAAGCACCTACGCACATGCAGGGGTGAGACTCCATTCCTCTGATACCTGGACCCAAATTGGACACAAGAAAACTCATCACCACCACCACCACCATCATCATCATCATCATCTTCTTCTTCTTCTTCTTCATCACTACTGTCCCCAGAAAGCGCGAGGAAGAGGAAGGAGAAAGGACTGTCGTACATACTACACCACAACAAAAGCAAAAAAGGTCATCAGGGAACAAAGAAAAACACGAGGGAGAAAGCGTTTGCAACTGCTGTCCTTTTAGTTAAATCTTATGCTGAAAGCTTTATCTACTGACATGCAGAACAGTAATTCACCTAAATTAGAGAATGCGCAGGGACGTTTGCGGGGAGGCACTGGGTTAATGGAATTCTGAGACTGCTTCTTTCTAAGTAGCTGGAATCAGAGTGTCAAGGCCCAGCCCCAGTGAGCAGAGCAAAGGGACTCCCGGCCCAGCTCTGCTCCCACCACTACTTGTTCTAACTATATTTCAGCTATGACTGTCAACAGCATTAAAAGTCAAAAAGTGGTTCTGTGATCCCCAACTCTCAAATACAAACTGCTGACACTGAAATTCACCTGTAATGAGGAATGACACGTGAATTAGATTTTAAAAACTAAGTTACCTTTTTCTGGGTACAGAACAGAGAAAAAGTGAGGGAAAGTAGGGAAGAAAGGCACCCACAACAGAGCCACCCAGACTTTCCGAGGTTACCAAAGCCGGGCAGAAGCACGGACTCAGGCGTGAGCCTACAAACTAGTTAGACACACGGGTTAAAACCCCCAAACAGGAAACCCAGGGGACTGAAGTCAGTGCCACGCGGCAGTTCCTCCAAACCGTGTTAAGCTGCTCTCCCTGCATGGCACACACGCACCCGGCTCTCCTGCTGCAGAAATACCTAGGAGAAATCCTTAGGGGCGAGGGACGTCTGCTCACGGCACTGGGTGAGGCGGGCGGGAAAGCTGGCCCCGTGCTGGCGGCTCTCTGTCGGGAAGAGCTGGCTGGCACTGCTTGAGGGCTACTAGCGAGGGCAGGGAGGCTTGGTGAGCCGGACAGAATGGAGATGCCTGAGGACCTCGGGCTGGGAGCAGCTGAAGCCCCGCCGGGGTGGGTGACAGTGTAGGGGCGATACCGCGGAGAGGGGGGCTGGCTTGCCGCCGCAGTCCCGGGGGCCGCGCCAGGACCCCCGAGGGAAATGGAAGGCACAGCCAAGTGGCTGACTGCGCCGGAGGGGGAGGCAACAGGCAGACTCATCACTGGCACATAGCTCCAGAAACTCGTGCTGGGAGCCGGACTAGTCTCATAGAGGCTAAATTAGTTGAGGAGGGAAGGAAAGAAGAGAAAATTGAAGAAAAACTTGAGATGATAAATGATTAAACTGGAAAATATCAAGCTTTTAAAGAATAGTATATTCAACTTCACATTTTTAAGCATTCATGTGTACAGTTATTTCAGATGCCTAAATAAGTATCATCTAATTGCTATAAAGATCTACAGGTCACACTTAGAATATTTTAAAGCCCTCTTGCCAAAGAAGAATGTGCAATATACAGCCATGTCTCTCTAAATTTTAATTTACCAATGGTCAAACCATGGAAAGCCAAAAAGACCGATCTGGAAAAAATAATACTTCCTGCAATGACCAAACCCATCCCTCCAAATATGACACATGCTAAAATCTGCATGATACAGGCTCTTGAAAGAACGTTCACTTCTCCTGCATACTCGTGGTTATTTTACTACCAATTAGATGTGCAGAAAGAACCACACTGACCTAGACAAAGAGCTGGCACCGAAGGAACCCACACTGCAGAACATGGGACTTGTTCCTGGATTGGAGCCAGTATTTAGCGTGAGATTTCTGTCCGGTGACCGAGCTGCCGCTGCAATTGGCTGTGAGGTGGCTGTCAGACTGGCAAATGGGTTTTCATCTCGAGTCTGAGTAGACATCATTAGCACTTCCATTAAAATCTGGCCAATCAAGTCCTTAAAATCAGAGAACACTGTTGGAAAGGCAGAATAAAAAGGAGGTTACACATGGTCCTTCATACACACAGTCCTCGAATAAGCCAAATGGAACCTGCGAGGTTCAATATGGTGCCCTGGATTGGATTGGATCCTGGAACAGTAAAGAGACATTAGTGGAAACCTAGAGAAATCCAAATAAGGTCTGGAGTATAGTTAATAGTAATATCTTAGTTTTGACAAATCTACTATGGTTATGTAAGATGTTAACGTTAGGGGAAACTGGGTGAAGTGTATACAGGAATTCCCTGTACTACCTCCAAAACTTTTCTGGAAATCTAGAACTATTCCAAAACACAAAGCTTATAAAAATTCTTTTAAAAGTTGGAGTACAGGCAATGAGTCACTGCTGATATATATTAACTATAAAAAAAGTTACTCCCTGCCCCAGTTTGGCTCAGCAGGTAGAGCATCGGCCCGCAGACCAGAGATTCGCAGGTTCGATTCTGGTCAAGGGCTAGTACCTCGGTTACGGTTCATCCCTGGCCCTGGTCAGGATCGTGCAGGAGGCAACCAGTTGATGTGTCCCTCTCACATTGATGTTTCTCTCCCCCTCTCTCCCACTCTATCTGAAGATAAACAGAAAAATATCCTCGGGTGAGGATTAAAAAAAAAAGTTACTCCCAACTACAGAGATTAGTTATCACACTAGAAATGCAATTGGGTTAATATTTCTTCCCTATGTTTTTTTCTTAATCCTAACCTGAGGATATTTTTTCATTTTTTGTTCAGATAGAGCGGGAGGGAGAGAGATAGAGAGAAACATCGACATGAAAGGGACACATCGAGTGGTTGCCACCCACAAGACCCAACCAGAGTCGGGGACAAACTGCAACCGAGATACGTGCCCTTAGCGGGAACCGAACCCGGGTCTCTCCGGACCGCAGTCTGACGCTGTAACCGCTGAGCCAAACCGGCCAGGGCCCTATATATGTTTTATATCCAGTGAAACTATCAAGTACAAAGTTCAAAGTATTTTACGAAGGGTCTCATTTCTAGTCACCACCTGGCTTTCTGGAGTGGACCCCACTTTCTAGCTTACTTCTTATTCTCTGTGGCTCCCAACTGCTTTACTGTAGGTCTGTAAACACATTCTAAAGATCACCATGTAAATAACAGTTCTAACCCATGTAAATCTTATCTGATTTGGTTATTAAAAATGACCACTTAGCCCTGGCTGGTTTTGCTCAGCGGTGAGAGCGTCGGCCTGTAGTCCGAAGAGACCCGGGTTCTGATTCCGCTAAGGGCACGTACCTCGGCTGCAGTTTGTCCCCGTCCCTGCTTGGGTCATGTGGGTGGCAGCCACTCGATGTGTCCCTTTCATGTCGATGTTTCTCTCTCTCTCCCTCCCGCTCTATCTGAACAAAAAATGAACAAATGTCCTTGGGTGAGGATAAAAAAAAAAAAAATGACCACTTAGCCCTGGCCAGTTTGGCTCAGCGGTTAGAGTGTTGGCCCGTGGACCAATGAGTCATGGGTTCCATTCCGGTCAAGGGCATGTACCTAGGTTGCGGTTCGTCCCCGGCCATGGTCAGGGTCATGTGGGAGGCAACCAGTCAATGCATCTCTCTCACACTGATGTTTCTCTCTCTCCCACTCTATCTGAAGAGAAAATATATCCTCAGATGAAGACTAGAAAAATAAAAATGACCACTTATATATGCACAAGAGAAATGTGAGAATGTTAAGATTTATCCTAAGAACAGTAACAAGAGGCGGGGCTTTGAAACACCGGGATGCTGAGCTCATCTCTGTAACCAGAGTTAGTGAGGAGATCCCAGTAAGATCGGAAGTAAGCTGTGCACCCAGCAGGAGCACAGGGGACGTTGCTTGTTTGCCGGGGAGGCAGGCAGTGCAGGGAAGGGAAGGGAAAGGCGATCTCCCCGATATTCAGTCACTCACTTAAAATCCATCTGATGAGCCCTGGCTGGTTTGGCTCATGGTTAGAGCATCAGCGCTCAGACTAAAGGGTCACAGGTTTGATTTCCGGTCAAGGGCACAGACCTGGGCTGCAGGTTCAATCCCTGGCCCCAGTCAGTGTTGTTCGGGAGGCAACCAATCGATGCGTCTCTCTTACATTGATGTTTCTCTCTCTCTCTCTGCCCCTACCTCCCTTCTACTCTATCTAAAAAAAATCAATGAAAAAATATCCTTGGGTGAGGATTTACAAAGAAATAATGAAATACATCTAATGAGGGATTATTAACTGCCAGACACCCTTCTCGGCACTGGGAACACATCAGTGAGCAAGCCATACAAAAGTCCCTGCCAGGAGGGAGGCTATGTTGCTGTGATGTGCAAAAGGACAACCTGGCACACCCCCACCTCGCCTACCTCTTCTGTATTCCAAATGCCCTGTAATTCTGGCACACTAAGAGTTTTATTACTTTGTTATAAGTGTAGTTTCTTAAAATAGAATCCTGGAAACATAGCAAAATAGCAATATGTCCTATCTGGCTAAGCAGTTCAATCAGGCAGATTTACTCCACCGTCTACACAGGACCTGGCAGGCACTTAAGGCAGGTGCAGGTCACACAGAGCGCCTCTCTCAGGGCCCTGCAGACCACCCAGTATGCTCCTACTTTAAACAGGCGCTAATGCTCTAAGCATCTTCTTATTGCAAAGGAAAAAATTTCAACTCTGAGACTATGAACATCGTTAACTTATTTATATAGTTTTCTTTCAGAGAACCATAAAAGTAAAAAAGAAATTTAGCAATAGATTAGTGGAAAATGTCCTCACCAGGAAAAACCCTTGTATTCAAAAATACAACCCCAGCACAGGCAGAGTGGCTTTAGATAGCGGACGAGGACAAAAGGTCTTACATTTTTGTTTTCTCTTAAGCACCGTACTCTGAAATAGGACAGCTGAGCTAGGTTCCTACCTTCTTTTGGGTTCTGCTTAAATTGTGCAGAAAGAGAAGAAAGAAAGATGACGTCTCTGTCCCGGTCCTTCCAAGAGACTCGAAAGATCTTACAGACCAGCTGTAAGGCCTGTTCTTCAGACACTTCAGAACCCGATGACAGCTCCTTGTGAGGAAGAAGAATTAGGGGTTAATTTCAAATGGTAGGAGGTATGAGTTAGACTTCAATAGATACTTAATGCTGATTTAATTCATTTCCGAAATGCATAGAACTATTCACCCACTGACTTAGGGAAAAATAGACTTGTTACTATGACTTCAGAGTTACAACTTTCCCAACACTAAAGAACTATACAAAATAAAGCCTCCCACTACTCACAGTCCAACTGCTAACCATCATCAGTACATGTTGCTGAGCACCAATAACAACTGAACAGAAAGTGATGCAATTACCTAACCAGCTCTACACCACACCAAACAAACAGGCCAAAAACCCAAAACACCCTCTTCTGCAATATAGGAACTAAGCTCAGATGATAACAAAATATGAAGGTCTCATGTTTTCAAAAAGCTTTTACTTGCTTCTGAGTCCCACATACTGTATTCCTGCCTCAATTCCCAGTCATTGTCCTCAGAATAGCACCAAAGATGTGCTGACCTACTTGCTTCAGCCAAACACCAACAGAAACAATTCAGATTAGCTCTAAGGGAATTCCTCTTACAAACCAAATTTACTGACAAAAACATGGACCTGAAACAAAGGGAAGGATTTTATCAGTGAAAAGGACTGAGTTATACTTCCATTAATAAGGGCAAGCTAGGCTACCCATTTTTCCTCAAAATTAAAAAACAATCACCTGACCCTGGCCGGTTTGGCTCAGCAGTTAGAGCGTCGGCCTGTGGTCCGGAGAGACCCGGGTTCGGTTCCCGCTAAGGGCATGTACCTCGGTTGCAGTTTGTCCCCGGCCCTGGTTGGTCGTGCGGGTGGCAGCCACTCGATGTGTCCCTTTCACATCGATGTTTCTCTCGCTCTCTCTCTTCCTCTCTCTCCCTCCCACTCTATCTGTACAAAAAATGGAAAATGTCCTCAGATGAGGATTAAAAAATAATAATAATAATCACCTGCCCTGGCCAATTTTGCTCAGTGGTTAGAGCGTTGGCCCACGGACCAAAGGGTTGTGTGTTCGATTCCCGGCCCAGGGCACAAACCAGGCTTGCAGGTTCAATCCAGGAGTCAGTACGAGAGGCAACTAATTGATGTGTCTCTCTCACATTGATGTTTCTCTTTCTCCCTCTGTCCCTTACACTCTATCTAAAAAGCAATGAAAAAATATCCTCAGGTGAGGATTAACAACAACCAAAAAACAAAACATCACCTAACTGTGATCTGCTGGTTGCGGGGGCCAGCTCTAACAGACTCGGCAGGGACGGGACAGGAACAGTGTTTACCTGTGCCACCTGCACTGGAAACAGAAGCAAGGCTTCATCTCTTACCAACCTTGTCGCTGAGGCTCCTTTTCTCTCTTCGATCATTTTCATCAACTTCCATATTTTCAATTCCTGAATCCACATCCACCTGGGACATGCTTTAAGTATAAAAGACAAATAAGTCTTTTTACCTTTTATAAATCCACCCAATGTCCTAGCTGCTGGTCGGCGAAGTTTTAAAATAGCAATCGAAATCAGTCAGGAAAGCAAAATAATAAAGGTTCATCTTTTTTTCCATTAATTTTTAAGAGCTCTTCATATATTAAGATGTAAACATTCTATCATAATTTTAATATTTTTCCCAAGTTGTCATTTTCAAAAAAATAATTGGAGCATGTTTTCTCTATATAATATGTTAAACAATATACAATCACAGCTTGATTACAAAATCTTATTAAGGATGTGTAGTATTTTCCCCACAGTAAATAAGTGTCCCAGCACCATTTATTGATAATATCATCATGTTTACACTAATATGAAGTCACTTATTCATGTGTCCAATTATCATCTATGTGTGAGTCTATTTCTGGACACTCGTTTCTGTTCCATTAGACAATCTGTCTGTCCCTGAGCCAATACCACTCTGTCTTACTAAAACTTCACACTAAGTTTTGATATCTGCTAGGTTCTTCTACTTCAGGAAAGTCTTGGCCATTCTTAGCCCTCTGCTTTTGCACACGTCATTAAGAATCAGCTTGCCAGGTTCCTTAAGAATTCTGTTGGGATTTTGACTAGAATTTCACTGACTCTAGAGGTCAAAGTGGGGAGAAATGTCATCATGTTACTAAGTCTACCTATGGTATCTCTCTCCAAGTATTCAGGCTTTCTTTAAGGTCTTTTGATAAATTTTTATAATTTTCTCCATAAATCTTTTACTTCTTTTGCTAAATTTATACCTATGTACCATATATTTTTTAATGAAATTATGAATACCTTTTTTAAAATTAAGTTTTCTAATTTTTTTGTTGCTAGTACATAGTAATGAAACTAATTTTAGAAACAGACCTGTTTTAAGCAACATTATTTATACATAGGGCTCACTAGGTAGACAATCATTTTATCTCTGAATAAGAAGTATTCTGTTTATTCCACTCCAATCCCCACTTGTTTACTGCACGAGGCAGGATCCCCATGGTGAACAGAAGCAGAAATAGCAGCCATCTTTGTTCTTATTCCTAATTCTAAAGAGAGTGTTTCTAATTTCTCACCACTGAATATGAGAGTTGCTGTAGTTTTTTGATAGATGTCCTTTATCTTTGTATTACTCAGAATAAGATAGGGTATGCTGTGGTAACACATACACTCTGAAATCTTAGAGGCTTAACACTATAAGGGTTTATTTCTTGCTTACGCAAAGTCTGGTGAGAGTGAAGCATCCTTACTCCAGCTTTAATCTATGCCATCTGCAATACACAGCCTCCCAGGTCACTGGAGCAAGAGAAGAGAGGGACGGAGGAGGAACATCGGCTCAACGGCCTTTGCCTAAAAGTGACACGTCACTTCCACTCACAGTCTATGGGACAGAATTAGTCACTTGACCCCAATCTAACTGCAAAGGAGACGGGAAATGCAGGGGAGCATACAATTATTTGGTTAACTCTGTCTCTGCCATACTGTCAGTTTAAAGAAGTACCTTTCTGTTTCCTGTTATACATTTTCTAATGTTAAAGCACCCTTGCATTACTGACATAAACTGAAGTTGATCATATTATATTGTATTATATCAGATCACATCACATATTATTTTTAACTAAACTTTTAGTTAAAGTATCTGTAAAAAATGTGCATAGATGACCATTTCATCACAAAGGAAACATACCACTGTAATTAGTACCCAGATCAAGAAATATAACATTACCAAACCCCAAAAGCCCTCCTATGACCCTTCTAATCACTAGTACACTAGCCCACAGTAACCACCACACTAGTGTCTAGCCCTAGCAATGTTTTGTGTGTTTTTAGTGTGTTGCAGTTATTTTGTCAGTATCTTATAACTTTTGCAAATATGCTCATGAGTGTGATTACTGTGCAATTACTTTTTTTCATCTATATTATTCTTGTCTGGTTTGATATTAAGGTCATATTAGTCTCAAAAATTGAATTGGTATGTATCCCCCTTTTTTAAATTATCTGAAAAATTTTGTGTAAAACTAAAATGGTGGAATTACCTATAAAATCATATGAGCAAGGCTCTTGTTGGAAAATCTTAAAACACTGATTCAAATTTATTTCATGGTTTTTTTATTATTTAGGTCTTTGCTTCTTGAGTCAATTTTGGGAGAATCATGTTTTTCTAGAAATTAGATTTTCATCCAATTTTTCAAATGTATTTGCATTAGCATATTTACATTTTTCATGGAATTCTCCCTTCCAATAACAAACAGCACTGAGCACTCATTCTGTGTAGGCCTTGTGCTAGGTGTCTGAGATGCCAGTGAACAAAAAGGGAACATAAATTACTGCGTTGTGGAGTTTATGTTTTAGCTAGAGAAGACAGAAAATACACACTAAACATAAATAAGCAAAGCATACAGTACAGTAAGTGCTATGGGAACTGGAAGAACAAAGCACAGGGGAAGGCCACTGAGAGTGGAGGGCTTTCCTCTGAAATGGGGGAGCCTCACTGAGAAGCGCCAGAGGAGCAAGAATATGAAGGTCAGCCATGCACATACCCGGGGACGAGCACTCCACCCAAAGGGTTTTTGTTCCCAATATTTACTTGTATTTTTTTTCCCTTTTTACTATATTATAGCTTTATATTTTCTTCTAAGGACCACTTTTTTAGCTGCAACACACAGATCATGATTTATAGTATCTGTTATTCTTCAGTTCAACATAATTTCAAATTTTCATTATAGTATTTTCTCTGACCTGTATGTAGAAATATATTGTGTTTCTGAAATTTCCAAATGTCTGAGGGATTTTTGAAAAGGTTTTTGTCCCCGCCCGGCCGGTGTGGCTCAGTGGTTGAGCGTCGACCGATGCGTCAAGAGGTCACTGGTTCGATTCCCAGTCTGGGCACATACCCAGGTTGTGGGCCCTATCCCCAGTAAGGGGCATGCAGGAGGCAGCCAATCGATGTTCTCTCACTGATGTTTCTAGCTCTCTCCCTTTCCCTTCCTCTCTCTAAAATCAATAAAGAAAAAAAACTTTTTTTTTATCCTCACCTGAGGACATTTTTCCATTTTTTTTTTTGGTTTGTTTTTTTGTTTTTATCCTCACCCGAGGGTATTTTTCCATTTTTTGTACAGATAGAGTGGGAGGGAGAGAGAGGAAGGGAGAGAGAAAGAGAAACATCGACGTGAAGGGACACATCGAGTGGCTGCCACCCGCACGACCAACCAGGGCCAGGGACAAACTGCAACCGAGGTACGTGCCCTTAGCAGGAACTGAACCTGGGTCTCTCTGGACCACAGGTCAACACTCTAACCATTGAGCAAAACTGGCCACGGCAGAAAAAAAAAACCTTTTTAAAAAATATTTTTTTCCCTGTATTAATTATCAAACCTAACATACTAGTGAGAAAACATGACTTGTATGATTCTGACTGTTGAAACTTTTTGATCAATGAGTATTAGGAAAAAAATGTGTATTCTCCAACTGTGGAGAGCAAAGTTCTGTATCCTTCACTTAGATCAAGCTTGTTGGCTGTGTTGTTTAATTTGTCCATATGCTTACACATACTCTGATCTAGTGATAAATGAAAGACATGTTAAAACTCTCCCACCATGAATCTGTCAGTTTCTTCCAGTTCTGTCAATATTTGCTTTATTATATGGTGCTGTTATTTTACTAAGTATCTATACTTTGGAAACTGTTATAGCCTACAGGTAAACTAAACATTTATCATTATATATTGCTTATTTCTTGTAATACTTTGTGCCTTAAAGTCTGATTTATTAATAAACTTACCCCAAGTTTCTTTTGCCTGGTATATTTTTCTTTTACTTTTAAACTTTCCCTAACCTAATGTTTCAGGTATCCTTCTGTAAACAAGGATAAAGCTGGGTTCTTTTTGTTTTCAATTCAACCTATGCCTTTTCACTGTGATTTGCTGTAATTATTGACACATTTTCATTTGTTTTTACCACCTTATCCTGTGCTGTCTCTTTTTTAAAATTTGTGTTTCTTCTTTTTCTTTGAAGTGACTTAACTCCACTCTCCCACCTCCTCACTACCATTCCATATTTCCCTTTTGCTGGTTTGGAAGATATACTCTATCTCCAGTCTTTTAGTGGCTACCCTTGAAATTTAATCAAGTTTTCATAACTCAAAATCTAAAAGTTGGCCAGGATCTTTACCCCTTTCTCAAGTATACAAAGACCTTAGAGTTTGCTTGAATAACCCCCCTGTTTACCTGCTACTGCTGTCCAGCATGTAAGATCTATCTGATGTTTGTACACATATACACACCCATGTTATTTTCTACACTATTATTGCTTTATACCATCAGTATTTGTTTCAATTTACCACATCTATTATTTTCTTTACTCATCCTTCCTTCTTGCATTTCAGACACTATTCCTGAGATCATTTTCCTTCTTAACTACATCTGTTAAAAGTTGGAGGTCTCTTAGTGGCAAGCTAACAGGTTGTTGTTTGGTTGGGTGTTTATTTTTTAAATTCATCAATGTCTTTTTTTCACCCTTGCTCTTAAAAGATAGTTCCATAAGGGTCCACAATTCCCCACTGACAGTTACTTACACTTTCATTATTTAATTCTATTATTGCAACATCCTCTGGCTTCCATCATTCAGACATTTAAATGTTGTTCTTTTGTAGATAATCTCTCTTCTGACTGTTTTAAAGGTCTTTGTCTTTGGCATTCTGCAATTTTACTAAAAGATGTCTACTTTTGTTTAAACTGTTTGCAAGTTGCTGGGCTTCCTGAATCTGAATATTCATATCATCAACTCTAGAAAAATTCTCAGCCATTTATCTTTTTAAAAAAAATTATAGATGCCATTCAATATTATTTCATATTTCAGCCATTTATTTTATGATAATGGCTTCCGACCCAGTAGAGGAAAAAATGACCAATAAGGAGAGGACTGGGAAATCTCTCCGAGTCTTTCTATTCTCTCCTTTTGATATTTTATTTATTTATTTATTTATTTATTTATTTCCTCACCCAAGGACATTTTTCCATTTTTCGTTCAGACAGAGTGGGAGGGAGAGAGAGGAAGAGAGAGAGAGAGAGAAACATAGGGACACATCGAGTGGCTGCCACCCGCACGACCAACCAGGGCCGGGGACAAACTGCAACCTAGGTACGCGCCCTTAGCGGGAACCGAACCCGTGTCTCTCTGGACCGCAGGCCGATGCTCTAACCGCTGAGCCAAACCGGCCAGGGCTCCTTTTGATATTTAAATTAAACATATATTGAATCTGTGTCTTCTATATCTCTACCTTTCATATTTTTCATCTCTTTTTCCCTTTGTGGTATATGCTGAGTAATTTATTCAGCTCTATCATTCCATCCATTAATTCTCTCTTTAGCTATGTCTAATTTTAACTCTTTTCCATTTGAATTATCTTTTCATTTCTAGAAATTGTATTTGGTTCTTTACAAATGCACTTGGTTGTTTTTATAGTCACTTGCCCCTTATGTTTTCAATTCCCTTTTTAATTTATTTAAATATACATATTTTGTATTCTGTATCTGATAATTCCAAAACCCTAAAACTCTAGGTGAAATAATTCTGTTGTTACTAATTCTATGACTATTAGTTATGGTGGCTTTTTTCTACTGTGTTTTGTGATTTCTGACATGAGATCATATTTCTTGGAAATTTTTCTAAGGAAATTCTCTGAGGACGTAATGTTTCATGTTTTCTTCTGCTAGATACCCTGGTTCACTGCATATGACACTTCTTAGCTTGAGGTGTTTCAGACTATACCAATAGTGTTAATCTAGACGCTAAACCCATATAAAAGTTATGTATTAGCCATGAAATCAGAGTTGACTTGATTTAAAACACAAAAAAACAAAAACATGTATTCAGAGCAAAGGTTGTAAGATCACAATTGTTTTTATCCTATGGGGTTAATTTTTTTCTACTTGACCTTTTCATTCAGAGTGCAAACCTACCTGAATCCTTGCCTAAGGTGTGCGATCTCTGATCTGGTTCCTCAGCCCAACCCCACCAAGTACTGAGGCTCTATTCCAGTGCTTCTCAACCTTTCTCACATCATAACACAAACACAAAATAATACTTGTCTGGCTCACTGACATAAAAGAGAGGGCAGCTTGAGGGTGGAGGAGATGGATCTGGGAGTAGGGGAATAAAGAAATCAACACCTCAGCCACTCCATCACCTGGGTAGGGCACACTTGCAGCCTAAGAAGGCTCTGCTCTAGGATACCCTGATCCTTACGGAGCTCTTAAGGCTTTTGACTCACCTGTCTGTACCCTTCCACATTTTTAATTTTCACTGATCAGTAAAACTTTGAAGTAATATTTAGGGATTTATAGATGATGCCAAAGTTTAATAAATTAAACTTTGTATTCATAAAGACATCACAGAACCAAAGACATTTTTTACCACCTACACCATTATTTCACAAAAGACATTTCAATACCAAAAACATAAAATGGTATTAAAAACACTTCAGAATAATACAAAGACCATAACACTTCAGAATAATACAAAGACCTTTAAATCTCGTACGTTTAGCCCTAATTTGCTATGGACTGGCATGGATCTAAGGGACTAGACCAAAGCGAATAGATCTTTCCCTTCCCATAGTACAGTTTACTGGAAAACTGGCTTACTTTACCTTTTCTCACAAGAGACGCTATCGATATCCATGCTCTGGGAACGTGAGAGAGACTGAGATTGTGTTTCAAGGCTATTGGAGGGCGAGCTGCTGAGAGAACTGACTCCTTCACTGCTCTGGCTTCGATGGGCTACTCCTGCACAAAAAGACAGGAAAGATGAAGTCTCATGTGAAATAACAGCAAAGTTATTTGTAATGACAACAGTTAAGTATACACAATTGGTATTGATACCATTGTAACAGTCCGCAACTGAAGAATTTCCATGAAAAAGTTACACTAAATGCACAATGTTAAAATCATAGGAACACACCTTGGCTGGTGTTTCTCAGTGGTTAGAGCATTGGCCCATGAACCGAAAATTCTCAGGTTTGATTTCCAGTCAAGGGCTTGTACTTGGTTGCAGGTTTGACCCCCAGCCCTGATCGGGAAATGTGTGGGAGGCAACCAATCGATGTGTCTCTTTCACATCAATGTTTTTCTCTCTCTTTCCCCCTTCCTCCTTCCCTCCTACGCTAAAAAAATAAATGAAAATATCCTCAGGTGAAGATTAAAAAGTATATATATATATCACAGGAACATTAGCAAGAAATCATATTTTAGCAATATATGTCATATTAGGTCAGTAACAAAGCTACATCTAATATCTAAAATTGATTCCTCATCATACTTCTTTCACCAATTTAAACTATGATCCTGGAATACAAATTAGCCTCCATCATAGGACAGAAAAACCCATGAACTGTACCAAAAATAAGCTACATTAATGAACTGATACAGAGACACATGGATGGAGAGATGTGTGAGATAAAGCAAATATACTAAAATGTTTATGGTAGAATGTACATGGTGGGTATATACATATTCACTGCAAAAATTCTTTCAACTCTGCTGTATGCTTAAAATTTTCATAATAGCCCTGGCTGGTTTGGTTCAGCGGTTGAAGCGTCAGCCTGCAGACCAACGAGTCGCAGGTTGAATTACGCCCAAGGGCATATACCTCGGTTGCAATTTGTCCCCAGCCCTGGTCTGGTCTTTCAGGGGGCACCAGTCGATGTGGCTCTATCACATCAATGTTTCTCTCTGTCTCTTCCTCCCTCCCACTCTATCTGATGATAAAATAGAAAAATATCCTCGGGTGAGGAATAAAAAAAAGACAAAATATTTTCATAATAGCCTTGGCCAGTTTGGCTCAGCGGTTAGAGCGTACCTGGGTTTCGAGTTCGATCCCTGGCCCCAGTTGGGGTCGTTCAGGAGGCAACCAATCAATGCGTCTCTCTCACACTGATGCTCCTCTCTCTCTCTCCTCCCCCTCTTCCACTCTCCCTAAAAAAAATCAATGGAAAAATATCTTCAGGTAAGAATTAACACACACATACAAATTTCGTAATAAAATGTTGAAAACATGCAAACAGATACATCTAAACGATGTTGTTAAATACAGACCAACCCCCTTATTGAGTGAGCACCTAGTCCGTGGCAGCTGGGGACATAGATACCTGACACTGTCCTTGCCTTAGTGGAGCTTACAATACAGTAACCCTCAGCCACGAGCAGAGGGACAAACAGCACCAAGAGGTTGCCGGTTTGATTCCCAGTCAGGGCTCAGGCTCAGGTTCTGGGCCTAACACCCAGTGGAGGGCATGCAGGAGGCGGCCAGTGGATGTTCTCTCTCATCGATGTTCCTACCTCTTTCCCTCTCCCTTCCTCTCTCTCTAAAAATCAGTAAAGAAATAAAGTCATGTTTTTTTCATAGAATTAAAAAATTAGCCCTGGCTGATTTGGCTCAGCGGTTAGAGTGTTGGCCTGTGGTCTGGTGAGATCCGGGTTCGGTTCCCACTAGGGGCGCGTGCCTTGGTTGCAGTTTGTACCCGGCCCTGGTTGGTTGTGCAGGTGGCAGCCACTCGATGTGTCCCTTTCGTGTCGATGTTTCTCTCTCTTCTTCTCTCTCCCTCTCACTCTATCTGAACAAAAAATGGAAAAATATCCTCGGGTGAGGATAAAAAAAAAAATTACTTTAATGCTATGAATATACATCTACAAGTACTGTTTTGTTGTTGTAAATCCTCACCTCAGGGTATTTTTCCATTGATTTCTAGATAGAATGGAAGGGAGGGAGGAGGGGTGAGGGAGAGAGAAAGAAACATGGATGTGAGAGAGGCACATCAATCGGCTGCCTCCTGTACAACCTCCACTGGGCTGGGGATTTTTGTGCCCTTGACCCCACCGGGGCTCTACAAGTACTTTTACAAATATATACCTATTGTGCTGAAAGGAAAATGAGACTTACATTTTTTTAAAAAATAAAAACAAAACAACTTGAGTTACCAGTTGTAGCTGAAACAACTACCAAGTGGGTCACATTTTAACCACCCCAGCATTACAAGGAAGAAAAGTTGCCACCCTTTAATGTCTCTTCATTGAAGAATATTACAAAACATTTATCCATTCCTGATAACAGGTTTTAACATGTACCTCTTTACTAAAACTTCTGCAGGACTCAGGGAGGAAAAGAGAAACTAAATCTCCAGTATTTCTAAGTACACTCAGGTGAAATACAGAAAACATCTAACATAGTGAGAATTCTAAAAGAAGCTTATGGAAGTCAATAGAACTTTAAATTCATTAATTCAAGAAGTGTAAGATACAGTAAGTTCTCAATAAATATTTACTGAACAAAGGACTAGATAATAGAGCACTGGTAATGTCCTTAATAGAATATTAGTATACCTATCACAATAAGAGGTCTGACAATTTTATAATTAAAATCAATCAATAATAAAGTTCAACAATTTTTATGGGATAGCAATTATGCAGCTTTAAAATGTCTACATGATAAAACCAGTTCCAAAATTAAATGGATAATTATAATAAGTTTTTTGAAAAACTGTATTTGTAACATAGCATACTATAGCTATACTCTGTGTCCAATAATCCCCCCACCCCTTTTTTTGTTAATCTTCAACCAAGGATATTTTTCCATTGATTTTTACATAGAGTGGCAGGGAGGGAGAGAGTCAGAGAGAGAACATTGACGTGAGATGAGACACATAGATTGGTTGCCTCCCACATGACCCAGGTCAGGCTGGGGATCAACCTACAGCCCAGATACATGCCCTTGATTGGGAACTGAACCCCAAACCTTTCGATCCTCAGGCCAACGCTCTAACCACCAAGTCAAACTGGCCAGGGCTATAATAATCCTATAGTAATACAGCGTCAGAGTACTCCACATAGTCTAATACACTCACTGTATTTGCAATGTTTTTATGAGACATCAATGATATCATCTGAATTCTCTTTTCCTGAATTCTCCATGTGATCTTCATGTTCTGGGTCAAGTGGGGCAATTATCCCCAGAATTAATTATGCATACTAGTGTTCCTCAACCTCTACAAACCACATGCCTCCACTCCTGAAACTTAAAAACTAGATGGTCCCTCTGATTTTATTTAGAATCAATATGAATTAAATATCATGAATAAAAATAAATCAAAGCAATTGTACAAAATATCACTTTGTTCTCAAACCACACTTTTTCTAGATAGAATGGAAGGGAGGGAGGAGGGGTGAGGGAGAGAGAAAGAAACATGGATGTGAGAGAGGCACATCAATCGGTTGCAACCTCCACTGGGCTGGGGATTTTTGTGCCCTTGACCCAGACCAGGGCTCTACAAGTACTTTACAAACATATACCTACTGTGCTGAAAGGAAAATGAGACTTACATTTTTTTAAAAAACAAAAACTTTTGTCCTCACCCTCTCCCACTCCCAACTTGAGAAATCACTATCAGAAAGCCAAGCTCTAAGGAATACACCCCCCTTCATGTCTATAAAACCAGACATTAAAGAATTAAAACACAGACAAAACCTTTGATACCCTTTGAGAAGGTAAGTAAAATCTCTACATATCAAATTAAAAACAAAACTTCAAAAAGTGTGGGTGTGTCCCGCCGTGTAGCTCAGTCCCATGGACTGGAAGGTCCCAGTTAGATTCCTGGTCAGGGCACATGCCTGGGTTTCGGGCTCGATCCCTAGTGGGGGGCGTGCAGGAGGCAGCTGATTGATGTTTCTCTCTCATACAGATGTTTCTATCTCTCTCTCACTTTAAAAAAATCAATAAAAACGTATTTAAAAAAATATATGTATTTCTAAAAACAAAAAAAGTGAGGATGTGTATAACAAAGAACGAATAAAGCCATGTCTGCTTAATAAAAGCTAAATTACAACTTTCAAAATGGCAGCTTTCCAAACTTTTATGACTAATAACAGCTTGTTAAAGGTAGATTATGCATTCTATGTGGGAAGGCCAGAATTTTTTTTTTTAAATAAGGATTTTATTTCTGTAAGATTTTCCTCCTAGCATTGAAGTATTTCCTAAATGATATTCCCTTTCAGGTAAAAACCAGACCAATGCCTGTGGTTAAGCTACAACACTAGCTCCGTTCTAGTATTTTACACACACACACACACACACACACACACACACACACACACACTCTTGCTAAATTCTAGTAAAAAAGAACAGAATTGCCAAAAAGGGGCCTTGAAACCTTAGTAAAGCTGTTTTAAAAAGAAGACAATGGGGTGAGTGTAAAGATATAGTCCAGGTCTTTTCTTTTACAGGTTAAGAATACTGAGATTTAGCCCTGGCCAGTTTGGCTAAGCAGCTAGAGCGCTGGCCCTCATACCAGAGAGACCAGGGTTCGGTTCCCACTAAGGGCATGTACCTCAGTTGCAGTTTGTCCCTGGGCCCGGCTGGGGTTGTGTGGGTGGCAACCAGTTGATGTGTCTCTTTCACATAGATGTTTTTCTCCCTCTCTCTTCCTTCCTCTCTCCCTCCCGCTCTATCTGAAGATAAATGCAAAAATGTCCCCAGATGAGGATAAAAAAAAAAAAAAAGAATACTGAGATTTACAAAGTCTAAGAACTTCCCTTTAGACCTTCTGCAAGTTAGAAACAAAGAATACAACACAGGTCTCTTAACTCTAAAAAAAATGCTATTTTGTCTCCTCCAAACTGCTGAACAGTTTTTCTATCACAGCTATTTAAACCAAAGCTATATGTTTTCTACATTCTAAAATTACAAACACTAAACTTATAAAAATATTGTTATAAAAGGAATCATTCATTCTACT